GGACTCGTCGTGGGCGCGATAACCCTGCCCTCCTCCTCGCATGCACTCCACGGATCTGCTCCGCCAGAGTTTTCGATTCTGTGGTGCTGTCCCTGAGCCCGCTGACAACGGCCAGTGAGCCTCCGTATTTGCTAGCTGGAAGGCGTGCATAGGCTGACTGGAGCTAAGAGGGCTCGGGAAGCCTTCTTTGAGTCGTCCTGGTGGTGTCAATCTATCGGGACTGTTGCCTCGAACAACGATGCGTCCTCGACGTGCACGCGACTAAAGGAGCTTCAGTCATGGGTTGCTTAATCACAATCTATGAAGATACCTGACAGGACACCGATATATTTTGGCACTCGCTAACTGGCCCGGCCTGGAGGTCTACTGCGCTGATCTGTAGTCCGTTTTAGCGGTACCTCAGAATCCAGGCAGCCTACCTTGACTTCATCTCGCTGTGGCAAATCAACGGTGACGACTGCAAGTGTTCAACACCGGTCGAGCGCGGATATTACCTGGCAACTCACCCACCAGCATTCCTCGTTGAAGCACACCGCTTACCGAAATCTAACCGTAACGTTGCAAGCTTACTATCCGACGCTCTCCCGGCGCAGGTACCAGCTGTTGACACAAGAAGAGGCGATGGCAGTCGTCGAGAGGAATTCAACAAGGACGGTGGCGCGAACCTGGCTGGTTCATCTGCTTTCGGTCGTTGCCGGATAATATGCCTCGTGTTTCTTTGGGCGTCTATCAGCCCCTGGGACGCCATTGGCGCCCATTATGTGCAACTCAATTTACTGGTACCTCAAGGCTTCAAGACGCGCAGAGGAGCGAGAAAAAAAGTCAAAATAAAAAATAGCGTGGCCAAGAGGTGCATTTTAACTTTACATCAACGTTATTCGTACAATATCCGTCTGAGACCACTTGAGACCGTCCGAGAAGACAGCAAACCTATCGCTCATCGTTTATCTGTTCAACGCTCGACCCCTCCACCGTGTTGGCCCGTGTTGCCGTCGCCCGTCTCAGTTTCCGCTGAGGTGGAGGTGCAGCATGTTCTGCGGCGGCACCTCAGAGATGGGCTCGAGGAGCTCGGGGAAATGAGTCCAGAGCGGCGTCAGCGGAGGCCGGTCGCTGTCCTCGGGGTTGGCCTCCTTAGCCTTTGCGCGCAAGATCGCGTGGTACTCGAGGCATCGAAGCAGCGCCAGATACCGGTGGGCCTGCCGCTGGTCAAGATACCAAGAGGGCGTCGAGCCAACAAGGGCAACGCGCTTCCTCTCGCGTCTGACAGGGATCGCCATTGTTACCCCGTCCGTCTCATCGTCCCCAGCGGGTACAGTGGCCGATTTGTATCCGCAACATGTGGTGTATAGGATCTCCTCGCCAGCCCGCGCCAGCCGCTCGCACGAGGAACAGGGACTATGGCCAGCGTTGAGACCGGCTGTCCGCGGCGTGGGCGCGGATGTTGACGTCGCTGTCGCGGGCGAAATCGGTGAGGTAAGAGAATTAGGCTCCCCCGCGTCCGCTGCAGGATAGTATCGCGCCTCCCATTGACTGTCCAAATCGTCGCTGAAAGGATCGAACCGTGTTGGATAGGGAAGACGCGACAAGGGGCGGCCTTGGTGCGCTCGCGCCAACCTCAATCGCGTGGGGCAGTTCGGGGGACAGGGTCCCGGACAGTCAACAAAGGGATATATCGCCTGCGAAAGCGGGAGACTATGTGGCTCGAGCGCCGCGGGGAACTGGACCAGCTCGTGGGCATACGGAGCTCCGGTCTGCTGGGGAGGGAAGGCTCGCGCTTGTTCAAGCATAGTGCCCATAGGCGTTTCGTATGGTGCTCGCGTCATCATTCCAGGTGCCTGATGTGTCGCAGGGACGGGCCACTCGCTGGGGAAGGCGTACGGCGCCTCGTACTCGTCGTTCTGCAAATTGCCAATAGGTACCGCTCCGCCCTGGTTGAGAGTCATGCTTGGCGTGAACGGCTGCGGCTGCCAGTGATGCGAGGGCAAGCTCCCGACATTGGCCATCCCCAGGGGTGCGCCGCCCTCAGCCTGCTCGGACTGGATCTGAGGCAGCGTCACAATGGCCGTTGAAGCACCGTCCCTCGGAAGTCCTGACGCGGCCTCTTGCCATTGGAGCGCCCAGTCCACGAGGTGTCGTTCCTGTGGTTGATCGTGCGCCATCGCCTCTGTCGGGTACTGGCTTGATCCATGCTGCTGCAGGATAAATCGCGCCGCTTCCAGTCCCAGCGCGATCGGGTCGTAAGGAGGCGGGGAAATGGAGGGGTGGTCGTGCTGCGAGGCGGCAGCCTTCTGAACGTCGTCGGCTTGGCCTTGAGCCAGAGTGCTCGCGAGTTCGGCAAGCTGCTGGTCGGGGGACGACTGAACACCGTCTTTCCCTACCACATCCCCCTCCACCACCAGTGAAGACGTATCCGCAGGAGTCGTCGGCGTCGGCGACAGAGTCGGATCAGGGCCGGTGCGCAGGCCAGGTGCCTCAACCTGCTGCAACGTGGAGGGTTCCTGAAGAATCCCCGCTTGTTGCTGAAGGCGTCGCAAGGCTCGCTCCCGTCTTCCCGGCCTCGCCTTCCGACGAGGAGCCAGGTCGCCCGGTGTACGGGACACTTCGTCTGTTCCATTGGACCCCGGCAACGGCAGCACGACATTTGTTGCTCCCATCCCTGCTTCGACAGTGCCATGACCTGCTATAGGGTCAGTCGCCTGGTTTTGCTGCTGTGCGGCGGTTTCCTGGAGAACACCTGCCTCCCGTTGGAGGCGTAGAAATGCTCGCTCGCGCCGACCTGGTCTCGCTTTCCTTAGTCGAGGCGGCAAATTGGGCCTGAAGGGAGGGAAAGCTTGCTCTGGCCCGAAGCATCCCTGCTGAGTCGGTGCGGCGGACGTGTCGCGGAGGGTGGTAGTGTCGCCGGCCACAGCGGGTGGCATGGGGATGTGACATTCATGCAGGTCAGGAGTTATGCGAGACATGGGACTCGACTAACAACTGAAGTTAGATATCCGCGTATGAAAACTCGCAACACCTGGACATAGCGCTCACCGTTACATTGCCGTTCGTTGGCGTCGCGGTCTGGTCAGTGGTAAGCCCATGTGCCACCGTCGCTTCAACTTCTCTCGATTGATCGATAACGTGTTTGGTGGCATAGTGGCCCAATTGTACTGGATTTATTCTCGCCTGCTCGCCGAAGACGAATACTTTGGTGGAAGACATGACGATTGTGAGCGATGGTGAAGTGAATGTCGAGGTGAGTCGGCGAGTGAGTAGGGTGCGACGGGAGTCGCTCCTCTTATCACTGATCAAGGGTCAAGGGTCGCATCGGTCCGACGGTTGCCGCAAATGCAACTTCTCTTATTCCCGCTTTGGTGCAATTGCTACGCATCTCTCTATATCCCTGAAGGTATTACTCAGGCGATCCTCTGTGCCATCTAGCTGTGACTCACTTCCCTGGATTCTAGGCCGCCACAGCGCTGCCTCGAGGAGGGGGTGGTGGTTCTGAACGCTGGATTTGGTGATGTCGGTGTGGTTCGTGTGGCGCGGGGTGTCTAGGGCCTGGGAAGTTCGAGCTATATGTTTATCCTGGCGATGCTTGTGCCCTGGCGCTCTTTTTCCTTCTGCTTTCTCGAGTACCTTGCTATATCTCTAATCTTTCTACCGAGGATACATACCCGCATTGCAATCCTCCGTGCCTTATGCGAATCGTTGGAAGTCACGACACTCGCCACTAGAAAGCCACTAGTCTCGGTGCAGTGGCGCAGTCCTCAGTAGTTGGTCCACTGTGTCCACGACGGTTACGTTTGGAAGCACGAATTTACTTGAAACTGAGGACGATCGCGACTGGAGGCGGTGGTGTACTCTGGTGTTTACCCTATACGACTGGCCAAATAGCAGCATGGAGTGCACCAGTTCTATTTTATCGTCTCTTGAGCCACGTCCGGCACGTGTTCGATATGGAACCTGTGATCCGACAGTATCCTGAGCCATGTTGGCTTTGGCTTAACCATTCTCAATCCCACTATCTAGGAGGAACGTCAATTCGACTGGACATGAGCCTAAGGTAGGAAACGTCAATAGAGAATGTTGGGGTAGACCGTTTGAAGCCGGAGTCATCGCTGCAGGTTGGAACGATTACTGCATCTGCTCGTTCGGTTGCAGTATATGCCTCTTCGATATAAATTTCATTGTGGCCAGGTAATGATGATATTGATATATTCAAGCACGTCGGTCTGTATTCCGCATTGCGGCGCGTTGACGTGCGATGTCTGTCACAAAGCATGCACGTGCATGCACTCTTAAATGGTTGCAGTTGCATTGGACGAGCACCGGACTTCGATGTGTCGGCGCTTGCGACGAAATCACCAAGTCCACGCAGTTCCTACCTCCCATGTTCTCTTCTTTGAATGGTTAGAATGTACGTGGCCTTTATGCGTTGAGTTTCGCTGCAATCATGACTGCCAGAGAGGGTATGTGGTATTTTCCTTTGACTCGGAGACGAGCATGACCTATGTCAGATGATCCCGAGCGAGACACTATGCAGCGCCCGGAGATATGAACGTATATGAACGTTTACGCATGAGCTCGAGGAAGAGCTCGAACGCAAGGGCAGTGCGCACAGAGCCACAGCTCAGAACCGCAGAAGAGGAGAATCGTGGCCAATTGACGTTCGCCGGAAACAAGCGGAACGTGCGAAGCCACACTCGCCTGCGCTCTCGACGCGTCGGACTACGACGCACTGTTTTCCTACTGCTCGCTCTCAGTCGTACACCTATCAGCACTGAAGCTCGTTGTTTATGTCTTGCTCTGTTGGGATTACATGGATAACCACACTATTCATGCAGGAGCCCGTCTCCCGCGACAAGGGAGGCAGTTGCTGCACGAACGGAGTCTTGGTCGGCGTTGATGTAACCTCTCCGATAAGTAACAGGGACATCCGGTAGCAACTGCTATGCAAGCGGTCTTGCCACGACAGGCATCAACGGCACGGGGGCTGGAAATCGTTCTCGCTACGAATGCGATGTTACATCAAGGCGCGACACACTTCAAACGAAGAATCGGAATCCAGTTAATTCCCCCCTTCTCTCCAAGCCCTGATTCAGCATGCAAATGCTTGTCCTCCTCTCAGATTCTTCTGGTTCAATTTGCGACTGTTATGAAGGACTGGTGGAAGTTAAATGAGTGCGGGACGAAGAGGAGGGCGGATATACGTGCCTGTACGGCGACCCGGACAAGGGAATCTCAGGCGGGTTCTATCCTGGTACATTGTCGTAGTCAAAGTCCACAGTAACCTTTGACGATACTGATGTTTCTCTTGAAGGTGATTCACCCCATGACCGATGTATGTCATGCAAGGGGATGATCTGGAGGGGAGAGCCTTGTCAGATCAAACAGATCATCCTCTGAGTGTGCAGACTCAATGGTGGTCGTTCTAGTCGCGGTCGCGCCTAGAGCTGCCGTGGATCCTTCGCAAGGGTTGGCGTCGCCGTTGAGGTTGGTTCATTCGAATGATTCCTCGGAAGGCGTCTGTTAACCAAAATTCAGTAATCCATATGCAAGTTTAGTCATGTCAGTGTACTCACTGAATTCAATTCTGTATTCTTGCACTCCTTTACGTCTGCTAGGGGTGAAACCGACGTTTCCGGGTTCGTCTTCGCTTTGTCGAGTTGAAATCTCCTGGGTCCTGTTTGCAACTCTGGCGCTGGAGGCTTGTTGTCGGAGCGATGGCCAATGTGACATGGACCCTCGTAGTTCTCCTCTTCCCTGTCGCTCTTCCTCAAAGTGCGAAAGCCAGGGGTGCGATCACCGGGACTAGGGCGGCCATCCTGCTTTGCGGGAAGCTTCTCGGTGCCTTCCTAAGGAGGAGGGGACGCGCCTCGGGCGTATCCTGTATGAGGCGGTAGGATATCCCCTTTCGTGGGCTCGCCATCGCCGGTAGCTCAGCTGCCATGCGGCCACGCCTTCTGACTTACCATCGACTAATCTCGCTGAGCTTCGGTAGGAATTGAATGAAATCCGAGTCTTGATCATACGTTCAAGTTCGCGGACGAACTACTGTTTGTAAGTCGCGCGAGCCACGCACAGGTGACGCAGTACTAGTCGGGGTGATGATAGGCGCCGCGTGCCCGGAGCTGTCGCTGAGTAGTATTAGTAGTGCTCTCTACATGACTTGGACATTTTGAGCGGAAGATACGAGGTGTATATAGTGTGCTACCTTAGCCTCTAGGCGTCGCCGTTTCGGTCAGTCGCACGTACGCACATGTGGCGCCTCGGTGGCACCAGATGGACAACGTCACCCATAAACGCGTAGCGTCACGCGAATGTGACGTATTCAAGTTCATGTTGCCACGAACTCCGTTGTGCTAAAACCGACTTACGCTTTTGCGGGAAAGAGCAATATGGACGTTCTTATCGAGGCTGTGAACGATGTTGACTTCGAAAAGGGCTACGACAAGCAGGCACACAAAGACATATACAGTGCGTCACCTAGTTCGAAGCCAGGACTTCGCTGATCATACCAGCGGGTGTAGGCTACGTAACTGAGAACATCCTTAAGACCGTGGATGAGAACGAATGCCCGCCTGTCCTCCTGCTGGTCTATGCAGTGCAAAATATAATATTCCCCGAGCTCATACGGACCCAGATACCGTCGCTGCTGGATCTGTTAGCGCAGATTGAGATGGTCCGCAAACGAGCGGTGAAGACGGCACGCGATGCGCTCGAATGGAATAAACTCTATGCGAAAGCCGCGGACGCAGAGGTACTGTTGCTGTCCGAGAAGGAACGCGCCATATGTGAACGGATAGCTGGAAGGGTCGAAGAGGAAAAGACCCGGAAGATATACACAGAAATAACATCCAGACTGTGTGAGCTTGTAAGTGGCACGTTCTTGTCTTACAGAGGTCCGTGAATGCTCTAGCTTGTCTTCAACGCAGCATATACATTCACTATGGACCGGAGACGAAGAGAAGCTGGCCGAGTACATGCGAGAGTACTTTCCGAAGCTCACTAAGCAGAAGTCAAATCAGCTCTTCCATTCCGACTTGAACGAAGTGGAACAACTGCTACTGCACGATGTCGGCAGACGCTGCGCTTCCTTCCTACGCGATGCTGCGGACTGGGAGAAAGGTTTGGAAGATGAGTGGGTCGCTAGGGGGTAAGCCTGCTTCTTATATCGGAGTCTTTCGATGCAAACACGCCGCGTACAGTTACCCGAGGGAAGAGCTGTATGCGGATGAGGACTTCCTACAGGAGCATCGAGTCGGATTCGCAGAGAGGTTTCCGGAGCCTGTGCATGTGGATAATCTAGTCCTCCTGATTGCGAGGTATGCGAGGGATACGGTGGGAGGGATGGTGCATGATCTGGAAGCCATATTTCGTTAGCTGTGAACGAGGGCCCAATCCAAATGCTTTTCTAATACTGAATAGCGACACCTTTACTATGGCAAGGTGGCCGAGCGGTCTAAGGCGCTAGTTTCAGGACTAGCCACTTTGAGTGGCAGCAGCTTACTAGTCCGAAAGGGCGTGAGTTCGAATCTCACCCTTGTCATCAACTTTTGCTTGCTTTGCACTTGTTTTACTGCACAGCGCGATCGCAAGACGTAGGAAATAGAGATTTCACTATCTAGGTTCCTCCAATGATGCTATGGGAGTGAACGGTCTGACGACGTATCTTCGAGAGAACCGTCCCGGGGTGTCAAGAACGATCACTTCTCCCCTGAAGGGACCACTTAACATCGTCGTAGACGGCTGGTCGTGAGTTTTCTATCCAGCGCGCGAGTCTTGCTGATGTAGTGCCCGGTCACGTTAGATTTATCTATGAACTCTACAATTCGTCCGGTCTCCGTTGGGTTTACGGAGGGGAATACGAGGAGTTCGGAAAGCTCGTTCAGGATGCAGCAGAGGCATGGCTGAAGATCGGGGTACAACTTTTCTTCGTATTCGACGGTGAGTACGTGACCTTTGCATCCTGGATATGCGTTGCAATATAGCGTATCTGCAGGTCCATACCCAAGTCTAAAGTTCTCGACGCTGACTGGACGGGTGAACGAGAATGTGATCCAGCCGTCCTTACTTTTCTTCCGAACATCTGCGGTTTCGCGATCTACTCCTAGATTTCTGCACGAATCACGCATGCTACCTCCGCTTTGCTATGATGCGTGTGTTCTGGCCCTGCAAGAGCTTTCGCGGTCGAACGATGCTTTGCAAGTCCACTTCGCGGACGAAGAGGGGGATCCCTACGCTGTTGAGTTAGCTGGGCGGATCGGAGCCTACGTCCTCGGTAACGACTCTGACTTTGTCGTCCTCAATTCTGAAGGGTACCTCGGGTACATACCGATGAGCGAGGTAGTATGGAGCGCCACTTCGTCGGAACAGGATGACACCCGTGACGAGGATACCGGCGACTTCCAGGTCGTCGTGAATAAGAAAGGGAAGAAAAAGGCCAGGGGTGATGCGAAGAGCAGTGTCGGGCTCGTGCCACCCGAGGAGGCCACTGACCTAACCGTCTCGCTGCCCGTGTACAGCCCCGCAGCACTAGCGAACCACCTACAGATCCCCGCCACCCTTCTACCACTATTAGGCGCACTGGTCGGGAATGACTACAATAGATCGTCGTCAACGGTTGTGAACAAAAGGGATATCCGCTCTTTGTTCTTCGACAGGCGCCTCACTGCATCTGGGCGTATCACCCACGTCGCCACCACCCTGCAATCCATCTTGTCCGCGGCATCGTCGCACAAGCGAAAACAAAAGCACCAGGTGAACAGCGTCATGGATCTCATTGGCAGGACCGTTTCGGCTCTCTTATTAAGGGGCCCTGGTGCACTATCTACCGGGGAACAAGAAGAAGTCGTAGAGAAGATCGTGGAGACTACCCTGCAATATGCTATCCCGAGGTACGAAGGTACTCGGCCTGGCAAGGAAGGTCTCTGGCCAAGTGATGTGTGTGCATTGCACGAACCCACCGCCTGCCCTACCTGGGAAATGATGAGCCGTTCTCTTCCTGGGTTACAGATGGATGGCTCAGAGGATGAGGCAGTTAGGGTCACCGCCTTGTATCTTAATGCTTATAGGGAAGGAGACCTGTCGCCTAGGGCGCTGGATCCCGTCAGTACGGGCTCATCTTGGCCCAGGATATTCCTCGAGAATCCTGATCTCGAGAACACGGCAAGATCCATCGGGAGGCCTATACGTGAATGGTGCTACGCGTTACTAGACCAGGGTGTCGGGCTGCCGATGCGGTCAGGAAGTGATCAGGAACATGATGATGAGCGTGAAAATGACGACGAGGACGAGTTAATTGATGTGGTAGAGGAGTACTCGGATGAAGAAGACCCCTTATCTCCGCTACAAGATGCTCTTCGGAAACTCGATCCGTCTGCGGACGGATCGGCAGCCAGGTTGTCTGCTTCCTCGCAGAAGAAAGAAAGTCGCAGCCAACCCAAGGTTGTAACTGAATATGTTCGAAGGGGTACCCGGCTCGCAGCAGAGGATGTCACTGTACCATCTCTATCCTCCCTTTTAGGGGGTATGCCGGATGCGAAGGCCACAGGGCCCGTGCAATTGCTTCCAGAAGAGATGCGCTTCACCCTATTGTTGCATGCCTTGTTGTCCGACACTCCGTTGGTACGAGACCTCGAGCGGGACTTTCTCGTTCCAGTGCTTTCCGTGCGCTGGGTAATTCGCCGGATGCACGCCCGAGCTGTCGAGAACGGGAACGGTCGAGACAGACTCAAAGAGATGTGGACCAAGAGGGAGGCCGAGGCATTCCTTGCCAATTTCCGCTCATCGCCGTCCTCCTCGGATCAAAACGCAACCAAGTCAGGGGATGCCGGCGATCCTGCGATAGAGGACAGGAGTATTCAATTGACCGCACAAATTTCCGCTGCAATGGAGGCGGTCATGCTGCTGTCGCAGACATTGCTCCTGGGCCGTCGGGTGCCGAGTCCCGTACGGCGTTTTTCGGGACGTAAGTTCCATGCCTTGCTCCAGACGCATGGAAGAATGCCCACTGCGGACGTCTGGGAAGCATGTGTGGATGGTCTAGACGAATGTTTTACAGATGAAAAGGTGAAGAAACCAAACCGAAGTCGGAAGTCAAAGGACACAGGACGATCCGGAGACGCTGGATCCGTTCCGAGGCAAGCTGCTGCTGCTGTCTCGCCATCTGCAAGAAGCAGCTTCTTCAACTTACTGGCAGACATTGGCGCTGAATGAAAACGTTGGATGCGTTCATCTGTACTGTTCGAGCTGGGCTCGGAATGGAGACATTTTTTGCTGCGATGGGCCTCGAGCGGCGACTACACCTTGCTGAGGTTTGCATGCAGCGCGATGTTGACTGATTAGGTATGCTGAGCGGACACGCACCTAGCACGATAGTTCGTGACCTTTCGGGATATAACAGCTCATAGTGTTGTCATGCGGCAGAGATGATTCTATGAAAGGGGATTTCCGTGCATGACTTGGCTGTCCTAGGACATGGCTTGCAGTGCCGGTGACCATACGCTGGACAACGTAATGTTGGTGGGATCGTGAGCTCAGAGAGCACTGACTATAAGCTCGAACTTCCATAGGCCGTGCTAGTGCATATGAGCTGTATGCCCTGCGCCAAATTTGTTCGTACAGGTAAGGCTGTGCGTGAGTGTTCGAATCGAGGCTATATATACAGGGATCAAACGTTCAGTATGGGTTCTCGTCCGGGCTGTGCGTGGCGGCGCCGTACAGCTTCACAGCAGTGGTAAGTGCGGACGTCACGTAGCTATACCGACCGAAGGGCCTGTAAGAGTCTTAGCATGCTATGCCTGACGGACATATATATATATATTGGTTCGAAATTGTGCTAGGAAGACCACACCCACCGGTTGCGCCATCAGCCTTTCCTTCCACACTTTGCCATGTCCCACAAGCAGCAAGGATCAGCACGAAAATTATCCCCAGATACCGTGACATATCGTTTGGATGGAGAGATGGTTTATGTGCCACCAGCCTCTGATCACCAGGCATGTCTTATGTTGTTTCGTGAAGAGTGCCACTGATATATTTGCCTCACCCTCAGGGAGCTGTCGCCATCGCAGTCCAACAATTCCCGGATAAGCTTGGAACCATAGACCACGGGAATATCTCCTTCTGCATCAACTCAGTGCTACACCACGAGACGAGGAAGGTCCGAATATCCCCCATGTCATGGTCCACGGTGATCTCGACCTTGGCGCGCTACGAAATCATCGATATCGTCGTCCAGCCCAAAGTGACCGTGGAAGCCCCCACAGAAGCCCCTCCGCAATATGCGAGCGAGGAGGACGAAGTGTCGGATACCAAGAATGGGACATATCTGGAACAGTCTACATCAAAACAACGATCGACTTCTCCAACCCCTTCGCAGAGTAGTAATCATTCAGATAAAACAATGCGAAAGGGTTGGATAGAAAGACTGCGGTCGTAGTGGGTGATAGAGGAAGACTGCTCGCAGTCGTTGATATGGGAAGATTGCATTCGTAGCAGACAACATTATACCCACATTCCTAGAGCGCATGCCCGTCTTGAATTGGCACCATCCACAAACTCGGCTTGAGTCGGACCATTCTGTATGATTTTGTATCTTCCCCGATAATCCGTACTTAGTTCGATATTGCAGCGCAATCACGAACTACATACCTTACACCAGCAGGCATCTTGACGTCAAATGTGGTAGACCATATTTATTCTATCATAAAAAGTCAGGCCTGGGCTGTGGGTCTTTGTATCTGAATGCCCAAGAAGGCACTGTGAGGCAGGGATACTCGAGATGTTGTAACCCGGAATGCGAGCATCGACCGGAGACAGCTCATCTCTATACCGGTCTCAGAGCCACAGTGCGCACATGATCAATCCCCGTTGCCACGAATGATGGTCGCGCGTGACTGGGGTTAAAAAGAAACGAACTCGGATAAGGGGCCCGTTCGTCCGACGGACTGACTTTTCAGCGTCATGCACTAGTAGCAGTATTTGCCCTATCGCATGTAATTTGACTCACCAGTCATCGCCCCAAACCTCCGAAAAATGTCATGCCGCCCGCCCCCCCCCCCCCAGAGAATGCAGAGGGGATGCCGGACGTCGGCGGTGTGCAGCCGCCGATCAATCGTCCGGTCTACTCTAAAGGACTCAGGCCCTGGATGGCCGCCCGCGCTTATCGGCGGAGCCGGGCCACTGATTTCCGCCTGCGCAAACGATGGGCATGAAAACGACGTACATGTCTGGTTGGGCAGAAAACTTTCGTCGTCTTGGACAACCAAAGCAAGTAAAGCCAGCAAAATAAGTCGTCAGCATGCTAGATATTGGCGTTCTGATGACGGCTGATGCTCACCATACATTCCATGTACGCCTGTCGTGTACGCGTCGCCGACCAGAGAAATCATTCTTCCCCCCTAGCTGCGAGGCTGGAGTATCTAGTATTGGCGTAGCCCGCTTGGGAGAAAGGATCCCGGAGCTCTACGCGCACTCGGAGTCTTAGCCTTGGAGAAGAAGGCTACCGCTAGCGAAGAGTCAACAGCACCGACTAGCCTGAGAATGAGCTGCGTAGGGCATACGGGAATGAGGCAATTTGCACTACAACTGAAGCATGTGAGAAAAGGCGAATGGCAGAGGAAGATGCGAATGATCTCGTCAACCGTGCCAGCGGCGAGCAACTGTGACGGACGACAGGAACTAAGCAGAATGTCAGCAATCTAACAGAACCTCCCTAGGTGTCCTTAATGGCGCCAATTGGCAGATCCATAGTATCTCCCAAGCGCCCACTGCTCGAGGATAGCCTGTCAAATCGTTCCAAGTAAACAGAATATCACAGATAAAATTTGTATGAATGGAAGTAAGCTCATGAGTCTGTTTTGCCTCCGGTCCATTTCTCCGATCATATGAAGCACGCTGTCAGAATTGCAGAGACAAAGTACCGACCCTACTGCTTTCAGGTGATTCATCACCTCCTTCCGAGAGATCTCAATGCCCGCCCAAAAATGACCACTGGAGGGGACATTCCGTGGGGATTCCAATGAAGAGGAACCCAACAATGAGGTAGAGTATCACAAAAGTTGACGCTGAAGGGTAGGAATCCACATGCTTAGTGTTTTGCAGTGACGACGGATTACGCACGCTATTCTAGGTCATGCCTACCTGGAAACAGACTAGCACGCAGGAGAATTCGACTCCCGAGATACCCGGAAGCGAATACCTACGTCAAGTGGGCCAACAGTCGATGGAATGATACCATACATGCCGAGGCATTGCTGCGGTGCCCAGGAATGGCTTGCGTGATAGGACTGCCTTTATCCTAGCATCATGGTCCGTATGAATACAGTCAACGCCAGGCTTACGCAGCAACGGGGTTCTTACCTCGTGGATTTACACGTTCCATACACGCAGCAAAGCTTGTACCCTATCCAGCGGAACGAAGCATAGTGTCGCTAGCTCTCAGCCGCAGTCGAAAATCATAGCATATATTGATAACGGGAATAGCCCGCGTGTTGTGGTACATCAAGGATTATCAATTTGGGCAGGTCCCACTGTCCCAGAAGCGAGTAACAAGAACGGCGTGCTGGGTTTGTAAATCAGCGAAAGCACTAGTGCGCCGCAAACATTCCTTGCTTCAAGTGAATGCGCCTGTGGTAGAGAATGATGTCAAAACCATCAGATCTTTTCAAAATCCATGCTCCTTGGACTTACCTAGCTAAGCGTAAGGAATCGAGAAAATATTCCCATAGAAGTCAAGTGGTATAACGACACTTCGACAGTCGTCCAAGGCCATCGTGGATATTTCCCGGAAATTGATGAAGAACGGCACTGGTCTTTGATTGTCGTCTGCCAGAGCTGTCGATCGAAAGAGAGTAGGCGTAGGTGGGGGCCAGAGTTTTCTTTTGTGACTAACACATACTTCCCGGAGTAAGAATCTCCCACGAGACGAAGGACGCTGCTGTAACGGTTCAAGGGAAGGCCTGGGAGGTTGGTGGTACAACCGGTATCCGAGGGGAAGGAAAGAGGGTATCCTGGTGAGGAGTGGACATCTTGCACCGGGTAATAGGTAACATAGGAACGTCCGCTTTGACCACCTTCATCTACGATGTCGTCCACCTCCTCACCCTCGTTGCTGCTGCCGATGGAAAGGAATGAGAAGGCGGCTCCGTACATAGGATTCATTGCCGCATGCCATATACTTGCATTGTCCCTATTCGTAGATTTCTTCGGGAGAGATAACTCTTCATGGTCGCAACCTAACGAATCCCCATAAGGCAGGCAGCGTCGATGCCAGTAGTAGACGAAGCAGGAACTCTCGTCATTCATGAGAATGTAGACGTCGCCAAGATACGTTTGGAGAATTGCACGGTGAGTGACCATTTTCAGTGACTGCCAGCGTCATGATTATTTCTGTCCCGTTCCCCATGTTGGTTGAGGTGATGCGAAGCGTGTCCGTACTGATTGTCTCGATCGTGATCAAAACATCCTCGGAGATTGCAACGTCCTGACACTCAGGCTGGAGGCGGCGCCAAACCACTTTCAACGTCGGATCAACCAACGATGTGTAGTCGCTGCACAGAACGGAGACTATGCTGGAGATTGTAGCATAGATAAATGTTGACTCCAGTGTAAGTATCGGCCGGCTCTTACCACTGATCGAAGTCTGATGAGGATCTCATGACCACAACCATAGTATGTTTCCCCTCCTGCTCGTATGCTCCTGAAGCGATGCTGTGCAGACATGTGCCGATATGGGCCAGAGAGAAGGTCCTTCGGACAGTGTCCCAAAGACTAGCAAAGCCACTTTCATGATCGAGCAACACGACGAAAGGAGTACCGCGGATCGCGTATAACATGTTAAGCCGAGGATTGTCGCTGACTACTGTGATTATGGGCCGCATAATACGCGGACGTTCGGAGCGCCAGTTACACTCCAGGCGTCAAGCACCGTAGGGAATGTCCCGAAGCTCCCGGAGAATCAGCCCCAAAATATTTCCCAAACGAGGATATGGTAGTGGAAACCTCTCCGCGCGCGTTCGTTCCAGAATGGTGTACCAAAAGCTGCGGACATCGTGGGGCGACCTCAGAGCTATCCAGCTGAGCTGCCTTGAAGGTGTCCAGTACTACTCAGCACTCACGGAAAGAACGGCCAAGACGTCTTCGAGCGATAGGATAGGAGATGCGGCTATCTCAAGCAGGACCTCGTTCGGGAGTGTCAACAGGCCAGAAACGGTGGAAGCCATGAGTTTGATATATCGTTGTTATTTTGAACGAGCGCAATGTCGAAGTCGAGGAGTGGATGCCCCTAGCAGCCCGTCTGAATGTGAAAGCTTGAGAACGATCGAGACGAGACACAAACCAAGTGCCACCAAGTGGCAACAGTGAATGGCAATGAGGAGAGGCGGCAGACTTCGGAACCGTTTGGACTCATCGGCAAGGACCGGCTACTCGTATATTCGCATATTTCGTTCCAAATACTTCAAGTCGAAACCACTATGATAACTATTGTGAATTACATGACTCGCATGACCAGGAAAGATGAGACCCTCCTGGTGATGCCTCAGAGTATACAGCGTGGCGAGCGCCACAGGACGGGGTACATTCATGCCACTCTACTACCTATCGAAAATTACTTTGGCGATATGGACATTGACTCCTTAAATACCGAAGGAAATGTGACCGAGACTGAATGAAATACAGCAGTAGATTAAGATTGGCCGAACAGAGTGCTTCTTCGTCGTCTCGCACGTTCCAGAGGAGGTAAGCTATCGCCTTGCTGCGACCCAGTAGCAAGAGGACCTTCGTCCAAAACTATCGCTAGAAAGTAATAGAATCAGACCGGCGTCTTTCCAGAAGTGAGAGACAAGGGCTCACTTGAAGAAGAGCTGTCCATGGATTGATCTCCGTTATCACAGGTGTCTGCTGCTACGGGCGCAGTTGTTGGGGAAGGTTCGGGGTGCGAAGTTCCTTGTAACGGGACTGGGATGTGTTTAGGCAGCATGGATGCGCGGCGACGCTGAGAGGGAAAGGACCAGGTAAACTATCACATCATACCTATCGTCTGCGAGAAAAAAATGTACCTTGGTAGTACCAGCGACACCCAGGCCATCGAGGTCAACGATGAACCTAGATTCCTCGGCCTTGGCCCTCTGTTCCACGCACTCCACCACCCATGCAATGCCTACCACGTGAGGTTTAGGGTCGCTGAGAAGCCTGCACCGAAGAATTCTTTAGACCACGTATGTCACTGCGAAGTGGTGTAAATCCGTACTTGTATCCCGTGACAGTGCTCATCAAGCCATTCTTGAAAACTATGTGCGTGCAGCTCTTACCCACACGAGAAAGAATCTTCGAATCATCAGCTTACCAGCATTGACGGTGTATCATCAAGGAAGCTCACCTTTGCTCCCAGACCCATCAACATCTCAACGAACAGCGATCCAGCGTCATCCCCGTCGTCCGTTCTGACATCCACAAATATCGTACAATCCTTCAAGACGTCCAATCCACCAGCTGCTGCTGGGCTTTCCGGGGGCGCAGACTCTGCGCGAGTCTTGCGACCAGCAGAGACATGATTGGCGTTACCACTGCCCTTGGCGCCGCGACCGATCAGCCCAGGGGCACTACGTGCAGCTGCAGCCGCAGCCGCAGCTCTGACGGGTCGCCCCGATACTGTCGTGTTTGACCCAGAGACTCCTTTGAAAGAAGACGGAGGAGGCCCGCCACCAGCTCCCTTGGACATCTTGCCGCTTCCAGACGGCACGGGAGGCGGTCCCATGGTGCCCGGGGCTGAAGGTGTCTGCGGGAGCGAAGATAGAGATTGCGACAAGGCCTGCGACGCGAGGGAAGCACGCCGAGATGCATCTCGACGGAAGGTACTAGGACCACCTCTAGCGGGCAGTGATCCATCTGCTTCCTTCTCCTTGCCCTTCTCTGAACTAGGGGGGACCTGGCTATCGTCAGGTATCTGGGAAACAGGTGTCCCAAACACGTCTTCCCCTTTCATCACAGCGTCGCTAGAGGACGTATCCGTATGCTTGTCCGGGACCTCCCCAGGCGATTCTTGGAAACTCGCCACTCCGCCCTTAACAGGACTACCTTCAATGACCGGCAAGGCGGGTTGCCGACTCAGCTTCTGTCGAAAAGCTGATGGTCGCCCCTGGCTCAGCCCACCACCGAAGGCGCCACTCCGTGCCGGGCGAGGTAAGCCATTCGCAGTTCGGGCCTTCGTGAGCCACGAATCCAAGGTGGCCTTCTTGTTTGCGAGTGCGACACTCGGATCTGCGGTTACTGGCTTCGCGACAGGCTCGGGAAGGCCAACCACGCGCGCGACCGCCGGTACTCCAACGGTAGACTCGGGGGCAGCTTTGCTAGGCCCCAGTTCAGGAAGAGATGTAGAGGCCTCCAACGAGCCGACCGTCGCGGAGCGCTTGAGTCCCGCTGGGCCAATACTCTTTCTCCTGCTGCCCAAACTGAGATCATCCTGCGTCTCCGCTTTCGTAGACTCGACGGTAGCCTCCATAGACTTGTCATCGTCATCACCATGGTTGAATCCGAGGCTTGTGGACGGCCGCGAAGGCGGAGGCAGACTCAGCTTCTCCAGGGCCATCGACAAATTCGACAAGCTGCTCTTCTGCTCAACCGGAGCCACGGAGGCCGCGGGCCGAGGAATTGGAATGCCGGTACCAGCGCTAGTACTCGCCACGGTAGACGACGGCTTCGTAGGCGTCTTATTAGTGCCGGGGATCAGCGGGAGCGGCTTGCCAGGCGTCGAGGGTCGCTTTCCAGGCGTCGTCGGGGGAGCAGGAGGCTTCGTCTTGGACAGCGACGAGGCGGTGGGCACCGCGAAGGAGAAAGAGAAAGACTTCCGTTTGCTCAAGCTAGGCGTCGAAGGATTAGCGGGTTGGGATTCTGAGTCAACCCATGTCAGAAGAGGAATTGCAATGAGCGGGCCAAGCCTTACCGGGTCTAGCGCCGCTGCTGCTACTGCTCGGCGTCTTGTAAGCTGAGTTGGCCTTCATCCGCAGAGCGACGCTCCGCGTGACTCTGCCGCTGCCCAGGACCTTATCTTTGGCAGCTCTGTCCTTGGTCTTCGTGCGTATCGCGCCTGTCGAGGGGTGCTTCTTCGACGGCTGTTGAGCAGCAGAAGAGCTGGCCGGTGCAGGGACTTCGGATTTCGCAGTGGAAGTGGGTGCAGCGACAACAGGCGGAGCTAGGGATCGTCGGGGAAGGCGGCTTGGACCCGGAGGTGCTGGCGCAGTCCTGTCGTTCGCGTCAGTCGAGTCCGGTGTCGTGTCGGAGGTAGACATTGGAGCGCCCTGGTCGGGTCTTGTGTCAATCGACGGCAGGTGTGCCAAAAGTTCAGCGGGCTTGAACGGCGTGGGCGACGATGCTCGGCCTTCAATTGGGCTGGTCGGCACGTCCTGAAGTCATCTTAAGGTCAAGGCTGGCGCGTTAAAGCTATATATCTACGACTTGCCTCTGACCCTTGCATGTTCTCATCCTCGATCTCCGCGCGCAAGCCGCTCCTGCCGACTGTACCAGCTGGTCTCGGCCCATGGAGGAAGGGGGTGGGAGGCACGGGAGTGAGCGGGGACGATGGGGTGGTATCATTAAACTGGTGACCTGGTGTCCTACTCGGGTCGTCTGTAAAAGCAAGCTCGGCCAGGGGCTTCTGAGGGCTCGTAGACTGAGGAACCTTTGGGGTCTTCGTCAGGGCAGGGGTTCCCTGATCCTCCGCGACATGCTCCTGCAAGAGAGATGTAATACGTAGCCGATCCTTACTGGGGGATTTACGTGGCGACGGGGTGACTTTAGTCAGATCGAGATGGGGGATGACTGGGACTGTGCTGCTGGAAAAGGATTCGGAAGAAGTAGGCGGAGTGACCAGTTGCGTTTGAAAGGATGTAACGGGCGGCGGGACAGATCGAGCACGCGAAGGAGTGATAGGCTTCACATAGGAGGTCGAATCTGCTGTTGACAACGGCTTCTTACTGGGCGTCCGAGTGTCTTTCGCAAGTAGGCTGGGTTCTCTGAGGAATTCGACGTCGTTACAAAGGGTTCAGGGAAGCCTGGTGTTACTCACTCGGTACGCGCCCGTTTACTATTCCTCTCCTCTCCACCGCCAGCAGCGATCTGGTTCTCGATCCCTCGTTCCGACGAGGGTCTCTTCTTGGTCTTGCGCAGAGTCTGGTCCTCCGCACCACTTGCCGTTTCCTTCGCCCTGTCCTCATCCATCGCGTTCGCAGTAGCCACCATCCTCGGGAAGATATTCTTTGACGTCGTAGGTTTCGACAAGGCGTTGACGGTTCGGGCGGCCGTCCGTGCCTCCTTCAACGGCGACCGTTCGAGAGACGGGAAGAAGTTGGGAAGGGTGCCTTGAGAGCGCGTCCGTTTCGTGTTGCTTGACATAACATTTCATACACCTTCGAAGTGGTGTCCACAGCCTAAGAAACGGATCAGCCAACGTCGTCCTACGTCGTCGCGGTTCGGAATCAGGGAGAAGTCACAGCGATCGCTACGCGCGCCGTGACCGACCGTCAACGTGACCGCGTCAATCACGTGAGTCCCCAAACGTTGTGGCGTCTCTCCTTCCTCTCTTTCCGTAGGGTAAGTTCCAGTTCGGTGCCTAGCTCGAAGATGTGGACAGGGGCAAAGCCGTTCAATTCTGCGCCCTGTGTCTTGTACATGTGCGCAATTCTACCGCGACGCTCGTAGACTTTACATACGTCGAAAGCGGTGAAATCCATGCCAGAAGAGGAAATACTGTGACATGCGGGACGGTCATCAAGGATATACTATTATACAACGTGCACAGTGCACTGAGGACAAGAAAAATCACTCGCCATGGAAGAACAACTCTGAACAGGACATAGCAGCAGCAGCAACGACGATAGAGGGGCACATTAGAATACAGAGAGCACAAGCCAAATAAAATAGGATATCATTCGCCAGATAGCACATGACGTTTCCCTGTCCATCTAGTAGGTCCTGGTAAACACGGGCTTCGGATGCCGACCCGACCCCCTCGGAGCCGCCGAGGTAGGCTGGACCTGCAGGGGCACCTACTCACACCCAGTAAGACTCAGCCACGGACTCCGAGCATATCGACTCACCCCAATGTGAGCTAGGAATGTATTCATCTCCTTTTCCCTGTTGTTCATGTCGTCCCCCTCATTTCCCAAGCCATAGTCGAGCAGAAGCCCTTTGAGGCGGTCGTCGTCGAAGCTGGCCAGCTCTCGCAGGTCGCGAGGGAACCGCTCCGACGGCGTCGGGACGTCCGTATCCCAGCTGGAGTCCGAACTAACCGTAGTAGCACTCGCCGGCGACAGCGACGCAGGACGATGCTGGGGCGTGGCGGGGGTGACAGGCGGGGGCGCGGGCTGGGCTGGTGTAACCGGGACGACCATCCCATTCGGGAATGACGACAGCGAGGTCAAAGGCATAGCCAGCGGACGCAAGAGGGGGCGGAGAGGCTCTTTAACGGAGCGACTCCTGATCGTGGCATTGTGATTGTGGCGACGAGCTTCGCTGTGTTCCCATTCAGACGACGCACACCTTCAAGGCTCACTAGGCACTTACGAGTTCTGGAGATCCATCTGGACTATCTGCAGACGACGCTTGCTGTCCTGCAACCGTACCACAAGTGAGGCCGGAATTTGATAATTAAGCTAGTGCAGGTACGAGTGCCGCTTTCAGCGCAAGTACGAAGAGAAGAAATACAGAACGACAAGGACGACCACGAACCTCGCTCGCGACTCTTGTCTTCAGAGCCGGATTGTCAGCCATGCGGCGCTTTATAATTGCATCTGCTTGTTGACTGAGGTCGTGCAGAACACGTTGCTGAAGCCCCCTCCACAGCTCCTCCTTCAGTTCCTCGATCCGCGCGACTCGGCCCGAGTCTCGCACATCGAGGTCAGACCGGAGAGCCTGGATCTAGGAGATAAGGAGAAGAGAGAAAGTCATTCAACTGCACTTCACGGACTCGTCGACGGCAAGGCGAAGCGGAACTCGAAGCGACATCCGGAGATATTGCGGCGGCGGACGCACCTTCTCCGCTGCCTTCTGGGCACTCGCGAGCACCGCGAGCCTCGTAAACTCGTTGCCTAATACATCGAACTCCCGATCCATGAAGCTCAATCTGAGTTTCATTGAATTCAGGAGGTCGTGTATCGCTGGGACCTCGGGTGCAGGACTATCGCCTCCCGTACCACGCGTGGACGAGCCCGGTACCACGTTTGGAGAAGGCATGGTCGTGACAACAGAAAAGGTGGACCGCGTTGTTGGTGAACTCACAGACGGGGGGAGCGGCCAGGGGAGAGGGCCCGTTTTGTTCACCTTCCTCTCGCGTTTATTGAGAGTGAGCGAAAAACTTAGTAGAAATATGAGGATCAACGGCCTCAATGGGGCGAATTGCGTGAGCGTGAGCGCGTGCAGTAGAAACTCCAGCTTGAGCTTGCGGGGCGGGTGCTGGAAAGACGAGATGAGAGTGGGATCGCACGTTTATAGTCGAAAACCTTGATAGCTGGCTTCAATACACAGCAATGTCAATTGTGGGTGAGAGAATACATGCCTTGACCACGAGGTCGGTCGCGTTGCAGCAGATAACGGCATGAAGAGGAATGTCATTCCCACGGAAGGATCTCCGTCTCTGCTTCGGGGAAACTGGACACTGCATTTGTGCAGCCGCAATACTCAGGAGTGATTATCGTCCTATCGAGGAGTCTTTTGTTCGAGTCGCGTACAGATATACACTGCAACGCGCCTTATCTCAAGAAGCACAATAAGGATCAGCACTAGGATGGCGGTGAGTAGTGGAAACCACGCGCCAGATCCCCAATCCCTTGTCACCCTGCCTTTGCCATGTAAAGTGTACGAAGTGCTGTACCATGTTCAGGGATCGAAGAAGACTAGACAATCATCGCCTTGAACCATTGTAACTCCTCAGACAAATACAGATGTGCAGCTGCCCCTTGCTCTAGACGACTATGCAAACGCACAGCAAACCGAGCTTTGACAGGCATCCTCGCATTCACCTGTGGAAGAAAACAATCCTCGCATTCCCGTCCAGCCGCGGGTCTGTATGCCTGTCGACACGAGCGCGGAAGGGCACAGAGCGACGTCGGAAGTATCACGCATCCTGGCTCGTCTAGTGCCCTTTCTCTACTGCGTTTCAAAACATACCTCCACCAGTTTCCTTACCTTCTCCGTGAAGGATGCCGAGTGTATGGAAAGCTCAGGGGTGCTTGGAAGCCATCAAGTGCAAGAAACGATTGCAGTAAAGGGCGTTAGAAAGGCGGGGCAGCATTTTCTATAAGTTCCGAAAAGGGAACGCACATACAGTGAAGCGGATGGTTCTCGCATCCGATGGATCCGGTTAACCAGTGTAGATTGGTGACATTAGACGCACGGAGACCTGTGACCCAACCTCGCAGATAGCACTGACCTCTGCCTTCTCAGGCAATGCTCCGCACCACGCTCCTCAGCACCGCAAATATTGGCCTATCTGCAGAGCCTCGGTCTGGGAGGACATCAGTCGAGATCGACATCTTCGATCTTCCTCCACTCTGACAATCCATAAGGACCGAGGATAGAGATGAGCATCGCTCCAGCACTCTTGCCGGACAGATCAAGCGAAAAAGCTGCATCATAATGATATTCCCAAATGCTCAAACCGACAGCCCATCAGCACGCAATTATCGATAGCATAAGAAGATCACTCACATTACGACAACACGCCCCCCAACTCCTGACCGTGCTATGGATACATATCGACCGAAACTAACGTACCCGCCCAGCAGCCCTTTATCCCTTTATCTCCCATTTGCGGCTAGCTACCGCCGCTCATGCCTCAACAGCGCCTTACTCCTAAATGTCGCGTTGTACTGCAGCAAATTATTAATATCCCTCACCCAATCGTCCTCCTTGCCCGGCGGCGCCCCCTCCTGCAAGCGTAATCCGTCAATACAATACCCACCTCACGTCCTCGACACATACCAAGACAGTAGGAATGCAACGCACCTGGTCTTCACCCTCCTCGCCCCTTCCAATCGAGCTCCGATTGATACACGGAATCGGATAGTCGCTCGCGCGCACGACGACGCTCTCCCCGGGCATAAGGACTCTCGCCACCTGCCCGTCCATGCTCACGTGCGCCGGCGCGCGCGAATGCGCTGACACCTTCATCTCCACGACGCGCCCGCCGGGGAATACCACCGGGCGGAAGCTCAGGCTGCGCGGGCATATTGGGGTGAGCACGAGCGCGGACAGTGACGGGTGCACGATAGGCCCGCCCGCCGAGAGCGAGTACGCCGTCGACCCGGTCGGCGTGGAGAGAATCAGGCCGTCCGACTGCAAGACGAGTGTAAGTGTGAGCCTGAGGAGGTGGTGAGACGCTACGCACGACTGCCTCGGTGAGGTGCTGCCCGTCGACGTAGAGGTCGACGGTGTTGAGGTGTGGGGAGGATCCTCGGTGGAGGGAGACTTCATTCATGACCTGCCAGGGCGAGCCGTCTATTCGAGGTGTCAGTCCTACAAGTCAGAACAGACATAGACGCAAATTCACTCACCTTCGCGCTCATTCCCGCCGTCAACCTCCTCCTGCTGTCGTTTATGATGTCGGAACTCACACGAGAGCCGCATGCGGTACAGGACTGTCGCGCTGCCTGAAGTGACGGCTGATAGGGCGTGGGCAAAGTCGTCGATATCTAGAAAGATAACCACGTAAAACGGACAATCGCATTGACATGCGACTGAATAACTCACGGAAAGGCAATAGGAACCCGAGAGTCCCCATACTGAAACTCAGCACAGGCGGCACAGCGCCAGAGCGAAAAAGTGAGGATGCATGCAAGATGGTACCGTCACCACCGAGGGTGATGATGAGTGAGATCGGGGGCGAGTCGGGCCCTATCCAGGGTGAGAGGTGCGACGCTGAGTGAAAGGAGACGCTTACCTGACTTCCAGGGCACTACTCCAGGTGGAATGTCTGGTCTGTCTTCAGAGTAGACAGTGGTATTCGGATAGTGTGTGCGGAGATGTCTGAGTAGAATGGGCTGAGCGATGTACACCAGAGTGATCAAGTAATGCTCGCACCGGAGGAACATGTCGATAGCCTCGACTACAGGCTTCGTCCGGAGCTTGTTCACTATAAGAATGGATTCGAGATGTTGCGAGGGTGTGTGTAGAGGGTCGCGGGTGCCTCTGCAATGGGGTCGCACATGGAATGGACAACCCACAGACAATGGAAGGACTTACGCTGGAGGGAGAGATGGAGAGAGATCAGGGACACAGAGCGTATTTCCCTGGTCATCGTGGCCTTTGTTCGAGCTTGTGGATTCCTGTTTTGATCGCGCCGACGCTAGGAATTCTCGTGTACATGGGAAACGACGTCGTATGGCAACACTTTGAGAAAGGCTGGCTGGTCGGGAGAACGAGAGGCGAGCACTCGAGCTCGAAACGCGCAATGCAAGCAGTGGAGGTCGGAGCAATAGCATGCTCCCCAGCTCACGCAGTAGAACGTCAAGATTCGAGAGAAAACACCGACGTGGGGTAAGAGCAGTTCATGAGAGCGCGCCGACTCAGCGCTTCCTCCTTACGAGTCGATGTCACGTGGATGGAGATGTGACCCACGTGCGCACTCGATCGCGTCGGTACAGTACTAGTCACAGTGTCGGTACCGGGAACGTTGAAGTGCAGTGGAATGTGGCCGCCAAACGTAGCGCTAGAGCTGAGCCTTCCCAGACATCGAACCTCCAGAAAGAGATCGATAATATTCAAAAATGGATGCTCACTGTGCAAGCGAATCGCTCAGGTCGTTACAGCTTATTTATTGCAATACACTGAAAGATAAGGGCACCGCTCCACTAGATGTCGAGGCAAGCAGGAATCAGCACGCAGCAGAGCTTGGGGCGGAGATGATGGGGGGAGGTGGAAAGAAATTGCAGGAGTCGAGTCACTCCTTCTGCTTATATAGGCTCAAGCAGAGTACGACAACCAATGATATTGAAGTGACGCTCTGACCATATTAGGCAGTGGTATTGCCAAAAGAGGCTACATGACGAGACCTGTCCGATGCGCAAGTCCTTCTCCTCGAGCTATCAACAACTTGCAGCTAATGACGCAGCACCTCCCCTCCTTCACCCACGTCACACCCGAGGGTATATATCCCGAGGGCGCATATATAAACCCCCGCCGCCATGTCTCTCTCCTTCCTCCGTCCCATCACCCTCTCTCTTCGTACCACCACCACCCGCAACCCCAAGGCACCTCTCTTCTCCCTCGCACTAGCATACGCAGCGAGAATGTCGACCGAGACAAAGTTCGACCTGCCTACCGACTCCTCCCTCCCGGGAAAGGCGTTCGAAGTGCGCAACGTGTCCACCAGCGACGACTGGAAGCCCGACCCGTCCAAGTCGATCCCGCTCCCGCCCAACAGGCAGCGCCTGATCGACGACGTGATTGCGCTGTACAGCATGGAGCCCACCGTGGAGCGGGTTAAGCGGTACAGTGCGTCGTTTTCGTCACGAACTGGGTATATGCGAGGTGCGACTGATCAATGTCCTGAACGCCAGCCCCGGACTGCGTGTATGACGATCAGTTTGTGTATGCGAATAACCGGTACAAGATGGTAAGAAATTTGGGAATACGCTGGCGCACATACCGAATTTCCTTAGGCTGGCCAATGGTTCGGCCTTCCGAAACTGTTCAAGGCGTCGAAGAACGAGAGCTACGAGGTCGTTCGTAACGACCCGGGTCTTATCCAGTTCAAGAACGAGCAGGTGAGGGACGCCTTCAAATGTCCCACTTCGGGCTCTAATTTCGGGGGCGCTCCGTATAGACTTGGACATTCTTGCCCCCTATTACGAAGTCCGTCACGATTAACGCCCTGGTATCTCTGTCCCTGGATCCAGCAACGAAGGACTCTGAGTTCCCCATGGTAAGTCGACCAGAATGTACCAATAACGGATATTGAGTGGGTATGTGCGCGTGCAGATCAAGTACCACAAGGACCAGGCCAACGACCAGGATTATAGCCACAAGGGCTTCGGCTTCTGGTTCAAGAAGTGGCAGGTAAGGCGGTTCCTGTTTGATGTCGTTCCCGTCTATATTCTGAATATTTGGGTAGGCGGACCATGTGTCCGACTGGATGTCGATGCCCGAGGTCAAGATGTTCGAGGCCGATAGGCACGCCGGTGACGAGGACGTGAGTAAGTATGAGAGCGGCAAGGCTTTTGAGAAGGAGTGACTGCACAAACTATAAGTTCTCGTGACGGCCTCTACTCGCCACAGCGGGGAAGGGAGCTTGAGGCGCGAAGGATGTATCCGTACTTCAGCAGATTGTATTAGTATAGCGATCCAGCGGCATGGCGCCCCACGCGCAAGTTTAACTCGGCCGCGCGTCTACGTACGCACGGATACGCTCTACATGAATCAAGTACGACGTGATCATGCTGATCGTATAGTTGTCGCTTAAGCGTGTCTGGCTGCACGCGAAGGTGCGAAGCTGCAGAATACACACTAAAGAGGCCTTCGAAGTTCCGAGGATGTGACGAGCGTCGATTGTATAACCTTGAAATAACGGCCCTATCTCTGACCGGGAGAGTAGAGAATATGTATACGTGTTGATAGCGTATCATCCTGCAAGCTCGGGAACTTGAGAGAGTATTGAATAGGCTCACAATGATCCTGCTCGTGCGTAGATGCAGGGTGTCTTTCGGGCGGAAAGCCTGATCTGAGCGAGAGGTTTATTGTGGAGACGGAGATAGCCTGACGCTTGCAGAATATTCCCCTTTCTCCAATAGGAACAACGTCGCGGTTCCTGGCCATTGGTCGGCTCCGAGGTTATTCACGTCTCTGTGGTATTTATGAGTCATGAGAGGCAGGAGAAGAACAGGCCGACGTAGTCTTGCGAGAGTGTGTGGAACATCGGTAAGGTTGGGTGGAGGATACGTACGGACAGCCCGTTGTGCGTCGACTAGCTTGAGAGTATTGGCTGAAGCTAGGATTATCCTGATCGTGCGCGGATGCGAGGTGTAGTTCAGGCGTTGTACCGACGTGCATTGCCTCAGCGTTGTGAGTTCCTCCAGGCCCTTCCCGACGGGGGATATCGTGGTTCCTGGATATGAGTCGGCAACGAGGTGCTATTCACGTCTCTGTGGTATTTCTGACTCATGGAAGGGAGGAAACCGACAGAGGACCCAGATGCCGATGTACAACCTTGCAAGGGCGGGTATGGAACATCCGCGAGGTTCCGTCCGATTGGGAGCGTGGACGTGGAGGATACGTACGTGCAGCCCGCTATGCTCGAGCGGCTGGAACGAGAAACATCCTGATCGTGTGCAAGTTCAAGGTGTACTTCAGTTCAGGCGGAACGTCTGATCTGTGCGAGGGGTCTTCTAGGCAGACGAGCACTGCCCGAGTGCCGTGAATTCCTCACCTGTCCCGACGGGAAGGATGTCGTGGTTCCCGGCCATGGGTCGGCACCGATGGTGCTATTCACGGATCGAGTCGTGGAAGGAGGAAGATTCAGGGAAGAGAGAAGTCCTGCTATCTGCATACTTACAAGGTTCACCGGAACGGTCAAGTGTTGCTTCCTGCATGCGTCCTGGTTTATAGCGGAATCATAATTGCGACTTCAGCCATTTATATCTCAGCCGTTGAACACTCTTGGCCATGAAAAGAGGCAGAGAATAACAGTAGGTGTGCATGCGCTGTTCTACAGAGTTTGATTATGAGTTTCGAACCAACTGAGCTGCGAAGGGAGACTGGATATGTTTACAGCTCGATGTTCTGTGCCTGGGTGGGTCAGAAAGAGATAACATGCCAGCGGTTGACTGACTTATAGAGAGAGAGATGCTCCCGCGCCTGAGTTTTAGAATAACACGAGGGCATCTCCTTGAAATAACAAGGAAACAGCTCCGGTCGGCGACATGTCGAGGTGAAAGTGGCGGCGGCAGGAAGCGGCGACTCAGTGAACCCGCTGAACCGAACGAATCGGCTCGGAATTCAACCGAACAACGAACTTCCCTTCTCCAACGTTTGGTGGCTGCGTCCTCCTCATGTGATGGACCTCATAACTCCCGAAAGTTCGCTAATGAGGTGCCGTTAGCGTCCTGCTTGTGGCGTCGCGCAGTAGAGTCATGTGTCCGCTGCTTACGGCTGCTTGGCGCCGTACCCAAGGTCGAAAACGGCCATGGGTGGGGTCAAGTGAGTACACAGCGGATCTTGACGACTACTAAACGATTTCCCCAGCGGGGATTGTGAGTGGCTGGCGGTCTGTACGGTGCGGGTGCTATGCATCACACTGGACAGTGGACGGAGGTTATCTCCATGCCGGCAAGGCGGGCAGCTTTCGAAGACCACGTTCACACCCAAACTCCTGATGCACGGTTCTTTGGATCTGTGATTCACAACCAGTCTTCGCCCTGGAAGCTTCGTCTCGACCTTACATCCACTTATGGCTACAATACTGCGACTTCAATTTTGAGGAAGAACGTTCGAACTGCGTTCTATGTTTGATATCTCTCCCCATCCCTCGCCTGTGGCTGCCGCGAAAGAACACAGGTCTGCCGACAGGCACAGTCAGCTCAAGCTTAAAGCCCAGAATATACTCCGTGAGGCCCTGCACACATATCCCATCAGAGTACTAGCTGACAGGCCTTCCAGCCGCTCTGCTTCTTTGCTTAGCCAGGGGTGCGGCTCTCCGTTAGCCGTATCATCTCTGAAGATCCCATGTATCCAGATGCCGCTCGCTCTGTGGGGCAAACAGCGCTTCCTTACTATACTTAGCCGATGTTCCTGTCATGGGACCATGGTGTGTACGAGAAGGAATGGAGGCCTTGTTCAGCTGTATCGTCATTCCGTGCGGGCTATAAATGCAAGGAGGATTGAAAGCACGTCCGGTTAAGCCGATCTGATTGCCCTGTGCTCGCGCAATCATGGCTGCTACCGTCACTCACCGCCGTAGCGACTCCCAGCTGTCGACGCCGTCCACGCCGAGCAGCAAGGCCACGGACAGGCAGATCGAGGAGGTCGACAAGGAGCAGGACGTGCGCGTGAAGGAGGCGCCCGTAACTGAAGATGATTTCCGTCTGCTCAGCGAAGAGGAGAGGAAGGCGGGCGAAGCGCGGATCAAGAGGATGCTGGACATGCGGCTCATGCCCATGACCATAATCATTTTCTTGCTGAATTACATCGACGTACGTGACAAAGCCACGAAGGGTACGACTCGCGTTATTGACATTCATTTGCGTGATAGCGGACTGCTGTCACCGCCGCTCGATTGCAAGGTCTGCAGACAGATCTCAATCTGACGGGTAGGTGTGCATGGTGCGGTGTGGCACTCAGGCTCATTAGGAGATCTTAGACCTTCAGTACGAGACTATCATCGCGATCCTCTATGCTTCATACGTGCCCGCTCAGATCCCGTCGAATATGGTGAGTCCGTTCTTACCCGGTGATTCAGTATGTATGTTCATGACATTTCTCTAGATCATCAACAAAGTCCCGAGGTAGGTTTAAACCACAACAATATCTCACATTCATTGGGCCTTACGCCTGTTCCTGAAGGCCATCTCTGTATATCGGCATTTGCGTCGTCCTTTGGGGTCTCACGAGCGCACTCACTGGGGTATGCTTCCAACCATCGGATATCTCACGCAGTATCGCTGACATACCGCCGATGGTGTTCAGGTCACCCACAATTACGCTGGTATAATGGCTTGCCGTGTTTTCATCGGGCTGCCGGAGGCTGCATTCTATCCGGGATCCATGTATCTGCTATCGAGATGGTACACCAAGAAGGTATGCGAAATCCACTGCACCAGAGTCTCAGGCACTGACGCAAAAATAGGAACTGTCTTTCCGGGCAGCCATCTTATACGGCGGATTGTTAATATCCAATGCTTTTGGTAGTGTGCGTCTTGTTTCTCACTCACTAATAATTTATGTTCTCGTTCTCACATGGATGCGTCGCAGTTGATCGCGGCTGGCATCCTCGAGGGGCTGAATGGTGCTAGAGGGATTGCCGCCTGGAGATGGTACGTGTTATCCACGCTCTGCATTCAAAGTGTAGCCGTCTTACCCGCACTCCCCTCAGGTTATTCTACATCGAGGCATGCTTCAACCCAGCTTATCCCTGTTACTCTGGCTAACCTCTCGTTGAAAGGGCGCAATAACCATCTGTGTCGGTTTCGTTGCTATGTAAGTGCAAACTTGCCTCGCGTCAGTATGCGGAAATTGACGTTGACAATCTTTCTGCAGGTGGGCATTGCCCGATTACGTGAGTACCCCTGTCCAAGCTCAACCGCTCTTGTTTGACACATTTTGACTGCATAGCCTCATAACACGCGATGGATGACCCCCGCTGAGCGGCGACTTGCGCAAGTCCGACTGGCCGAGGATGCGGGCGAGGCTGACGAGGATTCGGAGTCCGAGTCGTATGTCATTTATTCCATCGCCTCTCACGAATGATTCTGACTGAGGTTACTGCGTGCAGTGCTCTGTACGGCCTGAAACTGGCGTTGAAGGATCCGAAAGTGTACATCTTAGCCGTCATGACCTGCTCGCAGCTCCTTGGGCTGAGCTTCGTCAACTTCTTCCCGACGCTCACTCAGACTTTGGGTTTCAACAACACCATCAGTCTTCTCCTCGCTGCGTAGGTGCTGTTTGCGGAGCTACTCTTCTTATGCTCATGGTCGTTCGCAGGCCTCCATGGATCCTTGCCACCATCGTCACTTGCGTAAATGCTTGGCATACAGGTACGACGCACCGGTTATCTACTCCTGACTGGGGTCTGACGTGACGCTGTTCTGCACAGATAAAACTGGTGAACGCTACTTCCACATTAACGTGCCCTGGTGGGGAGTCATCGTTGGATACATTATCGGTCTTTCCACCATGAACACTGGTGGTCGATATGTCTGCATGTTTTTGATGGCGAGCGGATACGCAGGTGCGTCGAGATCAACTACACATTCACGCCCTTTTCATTCACATACACCAACAGGATTCGCGCTGACTTTGGTATGGGTTTCCAACGCTATACCGCGTCCTCCTGCCAAAAGATCCGTCGCAATGGGTATTGTGAATGGATTTGGGAACATCGGTAACTTGTGAGTAGTTTTATGTCACTTCAGAAAGCCTGAAGGTTTGACGCCCGGCACAGGATCGGCTCGTTCGTCTGGAAGGCAAGCTGGGGTCCGGAATACCACCCGGCGATGATCATCAGTCTCGCTTCCCTCGCGTTTGCGTCTTTCCTGGCCTTCAGTACGTATTCGCAATCTATATCTCGTCCGCCTGATTCTGATGAATCTGAATAGTTGTCCGGTGTATGCTCATCAGAGACAACAAAGCTCTAGAAGCCGAGATGCTGGATAACATGGACGAGGGCGAGAAAATACGTATAGCGGACGCCGCGAGACTGGAGGGAATTACCTTCCAGGAGGCCCTTGACAGGAAGAGGGGATTCAGATATCTTTATTAGTCAGAGGCCAGCCTCGTCCCGGTGTATTTCTAGACTTGTATAGGTTGACGTGATGTAAGATCATTTGTTGACGCGTTTGCACTTTGAGCTTTCCTCGCTCCTGTGGACCATGGGCCGGCCATGGAATGAACTCCGGTGGAAGAACTGCTCTGGATCCTCGCGAGAATGTGGAATTCCTCTGTAGCTGCTGCGTTACGACGCCAACTCAGCCGCCCTTGGGTACAGTGCAAACACATCTAATACAAGTACCGGAAACCTTGCTTCCGCTTCATCGCTTCGTCAAACGTGATACCCTCTAACCTCGCTGCTTCCTCGACGCGTTCACGTTCGGCAGGGCTTATCTTCTTGATCTCGGTCTCTGCTAGCTCTCTGTTCTCCCGTATCAAGATGCATCGAATGACTTTGGACAAATTACTGAGTTGTCATAAATTGCGAAGGGAGCTGGCGCCGCACCGAAAGCCAGGGAACAAGCCAGAGCCAGGGAGCATATACCGATAATCATTGACTGATGATACTCTGGGCTCCATTCTGCTTTCCAAACGAAGGAACCGATGCTTTGCACGGATTTATCAGGGTATACAGGAAGGCCAGTAAGGATAGGATACTTACAGGTTCCCGATGTTCCCGAATCCGTTCACAATACCCATTGCTATCGACCGTTTCGCAGGGGGCCGGGGAATAGCATTGGAGACCCAAACCAATGTCAAAGCAAAGCCTACATTCAGCGTCAGAGACTCGATGTGATTCTTGGATCTCTAGCCATAAAAGATATACCGGTGTAGCCACTGGCCATGAGAAACAACGAAACATACCGACCACCAACTGACATGGTGCTCAAAGCGATGATGTACCCGATGATGACGCCCCACCACCACCCCGATACGTGCACAAATCGCTCCCCAGATTTATCTGCCAGTCGATGAAATGCAATTCGCATCGACGATACGTGACTTACCGGCGCTCCATGCAGTGACACAACATATGATGGTGGCCCATATCCAGGGCGGGCTGCAAGTCGATCAGATGCAGTTAAGGCCCAGCGAGCATTTGCTTACGCTGCCAACAGCAGAGTGGCTGTTGTGTTATATCCCAGCGTCGCACACAATCTATCTCACACTCTTATTGAGATATCAGCGATGAAGCTGAATGATCGACTTACGTCGGGAAGAAATTGATGAAACTAAGTCCAACCAGCTGCGAGCACGACATGAGTGCGAACAATGGGACCTTGGGGTCTTTCAATGCGAGCTTCAGTCCATGCCATATCCTTAGCAACGGCGGTCAGCCAGAAATGTACATGTTGCGCCGTTTGAGAGAGGCAACGCACGATTCGTCCGCGGAATCTTCGTCAGCCTCGCCTGCGTCCTCCGCGAGCCGCACTTGAGCTAGACGGCGCTCAGCGGGGGACATCCATTTTGTGTTGTGAGGCTAGAGAGATGGTCGTCAGTCGTGGGGCCAGAATTGACGATATGCGCAACTTACGAAGTCTGGAAGTGCCCAACTACAGTGCTTCTCAAGCCTGATCCAGTCTTCAAAGTGGTTGGACTTACATGGCAAGGAATCCGATACAAACGGTCACCGCGCCCTAAGCTCGCGTTAACCTCCCGCATACCGATGGCAATGAGGCAATGACGAAAACGAATACGTAGCGTACCTCTATGAAGAACAGCCTAAACTTGGTATGTCAACCGAAAGCATAATAGCCACAGCTCATTCGACGTACCATCTCCAGGCTCGAATACCCCGGGTACCTTCCATATTCGAGAGGATTCCAGCAGCGATGAACTGCCGTACCAATCATGAATACGACGGCAGTGACACGCATGGACGATCGTACACTACCGAATGCGTTCGATATGAGGAGTCCTCCGTACAGAATCGCGGACCGGAACGACAGCTCCTGGCAGCCTGTGAGCATAACACCGTCGTAAAATGAACGATGAGATTACATACCCTCTTCGTGTACCACCTTGAGAGAAGGTACATCGCCCCGGGGTAGAACGCCGCCTGACAAGAGTGAGGACACAGTTTCCACGGCTATGGCGCACGAACGATTTACCTCTGGAAAACCTATCGCTACACGGACCAGGGCTATGCCCGTGAAGTTTTGCGTGAGCTGGTACAAGGTCAGCTTTCTACGATCTCAGGTGCGTGTTTTATTGGTACATACACCTGTCATGGCCCTACACAGTCCCCACAAGATCACGCATGCGCCCATGTATACGGAAGGCCTAAGGAAAGTTCAGTAAGTATATGCGGTAACGAGGCATGCGGCTCACCTCTTAACTTTATGAATGATCTGTGTGCTCATCAGTGATGCAAAAAAGAGACTAGTAGCATATACTGGCCATATTGGACGGTATCTGTGCAGGGCAGTAGGAGGCGCAAAAGATAGCGATCACCGTTTCATATTGCAAGTCTTGGCTCACTCAGTAGTAGCATATATGAAGCGGAAATGAGAAATTACCTGTCAAGTGCAGGTCTTGCTCGAGGCCTTTCAAGCGGGCGGAAGTGATGCCGATCCGCTACAGTACTCTGTCAGTTACAAACGATGCAGCAAAGACGAATCCGAGCAAGGACCCACTTACATCGATGTAGTTGAGGATGAATATGACGATCATGGTCGGCATCAGGCGCATATCCAGCGCCCTCTTGATCCGGACCTCAGCGGCGCGCCTTTCCTCGTCTGACAGGAGCACCCCATCCTCATCGCGAGGTTGCAGGTCTGAGCCGTCCTTTTCGACAGCGTCGACCGCCGACGGGTCGAGCTTCTTGTCCGTAACGTCGTGAGCGCTGCCATCTGTAGACATGGCTAACGAGCTGCACAATGGATCAGGCTCGAGCACTTTTATCGACGCACATTGACGGTATGCTCTCGTGATGCCTTACGTCCAAGAATAGCAGAGAAGAAGTCATCCTGCCGAGGACAGAGAATAGCTTGACGCTAGAGAGCGGAAGGCCGCTTCTGCAAGATTGGACGTGGAAATCGCGCCGATTCCCCGAGCACTGGATATTGATAGGCTGTAGTAGGACAATGAGTACGTTCCGTATGCACCGCTCAGAGCTGCCTCCTTACCTTCGAAGTGCAGGCGCGCTTCACACCAGACTTCTAAAGGCCGCAGTATCTCCGTCTTCTTGTTCGACACTCTCGATAAACGTAGTTGAATGAGAATTGGCGCACTTCTGGCAGGCGAGTTAGAGCTGAGCTGGAACTATCTTCGATGTGATGTCAAAGCCATCGCATCCTCTGCGCTGCATTCACCATAAGAAGGTTCGCGTACCAAAATGAACTTTGCTTGCGTCCCAACAAACATGTTCCGAATGTCCTGTCCGTCAGTACGATCGCTGCTAGTGATGTCCAGTATTATTACCCAATATCTATCTGGACTTCATATCCTTTCCTGTGATGGACAGTGTTCGAACTGCCCGTCGCAGAAAGGGGTAAGAGCGGCATTCAGAAATACTCATTCCAAGATGAATCCGTCGTGAACGCCGACGAGTTTCGAATTCTCGTCGTAGAGTACGACAAGCGTTCACATTACCTGTAAGCAAGTCGACGGTAGAAGAATGTCGCAGCAGGGCTGGTAATAATACAAAGAGGCTCACTCAAGCGAACTGAAGGCGAGGTGGCGGAATCTTTACGGGTACCATATATGGAAGCTAAGTTACTCGATAAAGATATGTCGAGCTTGGGCTGGCATACGTCAATTCTCGTTTGCTGCTGTTTGCCTCATGTTGCAGTATATAAACGGGCATGAGATACAATCCAGTCTCTCCTCTTTCCCCCCTCCACCATTATCTTTGGAGGCTCGTCCGAATCATTCCCGCTGTGCCAGAGGCTCCATATCGTCGTTCGGTACGGTACGTCGAATTCGCGTCTTTGACTGTCGCCCAAGGTGAATAATGACTGCCTTATGTTTAAAAGATCCTTCGCCGTGCCAAGGGCAATAGTCATTATTCACCCCACATACATCGATTTTGTACTTCGAACAAGACTCGCGCTTACAATGCGCATGCACAGCCTCATCATACCCGGCGGTGCTGCTGCGGAGTTCGAAATGCCTCTTTATAAGGCTGCTCCACTGGTGCCACTCGCAACATACCACGACGACAACATGGGCAACCGCAAGAGCAACCGCGCGTCTCCCGGCATGCGCAGACAGCGCTCTGTCACACCTGTGCGGGCGCACAAGAAATCCGAGCACCGCGACAGCCAGAAGCGGCACATGAAGAAACAGCAGCAGATGCAGATCCGGCGGCGCAAGCAGTCGGCGGAGGTGATGAAGAAGAAGCGCGAGGGATGGGCGCAGGTCGCGCTGGAGACGCAGAGGATCGTGCTCGGGGATGGCAAGTACGTCGAAGAGCGTAATGTGTCCTCTGATCCGCATGAGATGACAGTGACCGCGCAAGGTCTGGGTTCGCACACGCTCATGCCGCTGAACTTCAAGAGACTAGGTGTCGTGCACGATATTTCTATGCAGATAGAGCTCAGCAAGCAGCAGACCGTCTCATATCCGCACTACTCCGAGAAGCTGGCTACTTGGGCGGCCTCTATTCCCTCTATCCCTGATCCGCGACCCTCTACTGTGATCGAGTTCACGAAATTATCCGCTCTTGCGGCCGCTCGGCGACTGCATGCGACTTACCCTCACCTGCATGAGCAGAGTACATCTGCTTTAGATAAGACGAAGATTGGCGTCATGTCTTTTGCTTCTCCCAAGAGACCCGGAGGAGGTTATCTTCACGGAGGAGATGAACAGGAGGAAGTGATCGCCCGCTCTAGTTCCCTCGTAGCGGCTCTCGGTTCTCCGCAGGCAGCGACATTCTACCAGACGCACCGACAGTACAAGAACGAAGATGGCAGTGGACTGCACGATCACTCCATGGTCTATTCCCCGGGTATCGTGGTCTTCAGGAAAGAAGACGAGGAACTCGAAGAGGAACAGCCTGTTACCCGTGGCAGACGGAAGCGCAACGACACCCCCGCTCCGGTGGTCACCGACCCATCTGGCGCATTCATCGAGCCGTTCCTGGTGAACGTCGTGTCGGCCGTGCCAGTCAACGCGGCGGCGGTGCGGCAGAAGCACGTAATTCCGCCCGAGGACGCGCAGTTTTTCGCGGACGGGATCCGGCACGCGATGAAGGAGCGCATGGCGCGCGTCCTGCGGTGTTTCGAGGACAACGGCGACCGCGCCCTCGTGCTCGGCGCGTTCGGGTGCGGGTCGAGCGAGAACGACCCGGAGGTCATCGCGGATATCTGGGCGGAGCTACTGGTTACCGGGGACAGAGCCGCGGAGGGGAAGGAGAACAAGCCGGCGCGGTTTAAGGATGTTTTCGAGAGAGTTGTGTTTGCTGTGCCGGGCAAGTGGCACGCGCCGTTCAAGCGCGCGTTCGAGATGAGGGTGTTTGAGCAGGAGGTGACGGACGGGACATCGTCAGGTGATCCGTGAGTGAGGTGCGTGGAGGTGTATACCCGTGTGGTCGGTGCTGTTGGGGGTATCTTTATCTCTTTTCATTTCGTCCGGTTGTATAATTATTGATGCCCTTTTTCATTCTTCTGTATCAAGTGCTGTTGAAGTGTATCGCTAACTAGTACATTCTTCCATCGCTATGTAGTCTGTCGCATAATCAAGTCTACTGTCGCTTTCTTCATCCTTCATCCTTCAGCGTTCGGCGACGGCATCTCATACGTTCACCAAGATCGTTCCACTAGCAGGGTCCACAGGAGGGGCATAGCCGGGCGGGGCACCGTCCGGGACATCATCACCATCGTCAGAGTCGTCTATCACAACTGGAGAGAAGGTAACCCCTGCAATCCCGATCTCCAAGTCAACGCCTGATCAATCATGGACATAACTTGACGTACCGATAAACGCGAGGAACTTGTCGACGTTGGCCTGCTGGGAGTCCTGCACGGGCAGGTCGTAGTCCCTCAGGAGCTGCTTGAGCGTGTTGTCTTGGGAGTAGTGAGTCTCTTCGTCTGAGGTACTTTTGTTTTATGAGACGTACTGCTATATCCGCACAGGCTGTATATGTTCTCGGGCCAGCACCCGCTCATGCTGTGGTCCGCTTTTCGCAGCGGGGCTAGTGGCATGTGCAGGTCGTCGCCCTGGAGCTTGGAGTTTGCGGTGAGTGCTTCCCTAGTGAGGACGGGTCACTTCTGCTTCGATGGGGCTAGGTCTGAGGATGCTCACGTGTTGTGGATTGCGTTTTTGAGATTGGCGAGGTGGATCTCGGCCTCTTTGATCTGCTCGAGGAGCGTGGGGCGCAGGTGGTCCTTGATCTGCCCGTCGACTTCCGCTTTCACTTGGCGTGCCAGCTCTTCCATTATTTTCCCTTTAATCATCGCCCTACGGTTTATACAAGCAAATTTCAGATATAACGACGTTGTGAGCAGGCGAGGCGGGCGCACCTCATGTCCGTGATGGCCTGGACTTTGAAGTCCTCCTCGACCAACCGCTTCACGTCTTTCACTCTCTTGTCCTGCGCCTCCTTCTGCTCCTTCATAATCTTGTTCACGCCGCTGAGCTCCTTCTTCGCGCCGTCGCTGGTCTTGACACATGCAGTCGTGGCCAACACGTCTTCACGAGCCAAATACTGAGTGGACTATGCTACTTACGAAGGTCGGGCAGTCCTTTTCGATCTGGTCGATCTGCGCGCTGTCCTTCCTGGCCTGCTCCATGCTGTGTCCACGCAATGGAATCAACAGGGAGCATATCAGGAAAATCGCCGTCAGCCGGCCCTGGTTAGCTGTACGCACAATGCTCGCTCGACGTCCTTCCACCCGCCAGCGGGGTCAGAGCGACCAGTTGAGGCGCTCGCAGCCGCAGTCTTCGCCTTGTTGTTGTTTCCGCCGGCCATGGATGTGGGAGGCGGAGGGATGGTACCTGTAGTGCTCGACTCGGGAGGCAGGGCTGCACCCTCTTATATCTAGTCGATCTGGGTTCTCGGGCGCTTCGAAGGAACACGCTTGCGCCTCATGTAGCTTATATTTGGCTAGAGGTATCTTCTTCCTGTATCACAGCAGTCCCATGATAACGATGGGTATGTATCTAAGTGGATCCAGCGTTATACAGCGTGCCTGGTCTATCGATACAATTGAAAGCGACTCCGCTTCTCTCCGTAGAAGATCGAGGTCATGTCATCTCCGGGACGACGTCCTGGCCCTTCCCTTTCGTGAAGTAGTCGAGGACGTTGGTGAGCGCGCGGATCTCCATCTTCTTCTGCGAGTCGCGCGTCTCGGTGCCCATGTGCGGGAGGAGCGTGATGTTGGGGAACTCGAGCAGGCGCGGGTTCACCTCGGGCTCGTTGGGGAACACGTCGAGACCGACGGACGAGAGCTACCATGGGTTGATATTAGTGAATTGAGGGAGTCGCGCGGTGGGTACCCACATGCCCGTCCTCGAGCGCGCGTATCATCGCCGCCTCGTCAATCACCTTCCCGCGCGCCGTATTGACGATCACCGCGCCCTTCTTCAGCGCGCGGATCATCTTCTCGTCCACCAAGCCCTCCGTCTCCTTCTTCAGCGGCACGTGCACACTCAGCACGTCCGCCTGCGCGAGCATCTCGTCGAGGCGCTCCGGGCCGTAGTATTCACACCACTCCGGCACGTCCGCGCGCGGGCGGCGGTTGTGGTAGAGCACGCGCATGCGGAAGGGGCGCACGTACTCGGCGAGGCGCAGGCCGATCCCGCCGAGGCCCAGGATCGCGAGCGTCTTGTCCTCGAGGTCCTGCGCGTTCCCGGCCTTGTGCCCGCGCTTCCAGTTGCCGGCGTGCAGGCTGCGCTCGGCGTTGGCGAATTTGCGGAAGGAGGAGATGAGGAGGTAGAGGGCGGTGGTTGCTGTGGCGTCGTCGACGGCGCCGGGGGTATTAGACACGTAGATCCCTATGGGACAGTGAGATCAGAGATACGTTACTTGCGGTGAGGGGATACGCACCTTTGGCTTTGCATTCGTGCACGTCGATCTGGTCGTAACCCGCGCCGTTGTGGGCGATCCACTTTACAGTGCCTGCGATCGCGTCGATGATCTCCTTGTCGAATATGCCTATTCGGTCGGCGGAGACGTTATGTCTGTAGACACCTTCGACGCCCTGGTACTTTCCACCAGGCTTGAAACCTGCCAGGAAGTCCGCGCGGTTGGGCGAGTCCATGCGCTACGCAGACCACCATCAGATATATTATCGCAGGAATAAGACTGAGATATATATGACTTACCACGATCTCAGCAACACCTGCGAACATCTGCTTCGCCTCCTCGTTCGCCCATACGAGATCACCTGCCATATCACTTAAGCATCCCAATTCCTCCTTTACATCCGCCTCGTCAGACGTACCGCAAAGCATAACGCGTTTCCCCATCGTTGAATACGAACGAGACGCACTACCCACTGAGCTTGCGGTGAAAGAACGAGCGATAGCAGCGAGACGAACTCCTGCAACGCTCATGCGCATATTTAGGGGCACTCTACCTCACCGATTCGGCTATACGCGTTATAAGTCGGGAGTGCGGACCGCCCCTGCCGGGTGTTTTGGCCCGCTGATATGTCGGAACGCCAGAGCATGTCTCGTATCGTGGGCACAAGGGTGACTATGAATGGACATACGGGGCCCCGTAAATCCGCCAGAAATTAGCATAGAAAAGCGGAGCGAGTTTCAGAGATAAGTCCCAACTCGTAGGTGGCCATGTCAATCGCTCAACGACGCTCTCGACGATGGGGGCAAAAGAAAGGGACGATCAACTAGAAAAGCTGACAACGAAGAAAAATCCCAAGTACTGAGTCGACTTGCGAGCGACGACCTGATGTCGATGTTGCGGAGATTCAGAAAATCGCGTGTGTGGCCAATGGGACGCGTCGATGGACGCGGTTCAAGTTTGCCACGGCTGCTGAGCCTCTTCATGTTCGTATCCTGCTAGCGCTGCAGCTGGGATAACTTCAATTGGCATCGAAGACTGGGCTCAGAGTGCGTGTTTTCTTCTATGTCTTTTTGTACAAATGCTTGGAGATTCGAGCCGTTTAGATCTAGTCGCGCTTTGGCGTCATGTGCGATATTGAACCTTCTTAATGGTGATGTTCACTCTAAGAAGCTTGAGGTGAAGGAGAGAACTGAGGGCTTCGCTGACTGTGCGCTTAGCTCACAGCGTATGCTTCCGAGGCATAGTTTTCATAAGACATAAAGGAAGGACCTCGCAGGTTGAGTAAGCTTGATGAAAATCCACCTTATACGCCTCTAGTATGCTATGCCCTAGAATGAATAAATCAATAACATCACTAGCCTCAGGAGACTTATGTGAGTGATCACAGAGACCAATGGAAGTCAGTTCATGTTACAGTCATTTCAAACCGCGAGCAATACAAGCACAGGCGCATCAATAGTTGCCTCCTCCATACCTAGTCTCATCCCGTCCCTGGTCGTACGCGTTCTCAACGCCATCATCAAACCGCTCGACATCCCCGACCTTCTCGCCCGCCCAGTTCGCCGCGTCGTCGACGCCCCGCCCGACGTCCTGCGGGATGTCCTCCACACCCTGAACCGCGTCGTCGACGGTGTTCTCGACGCCGTACTTGGCGCGGTCGTAGTCGGTCTCGACGTCCTGCGGGATATTCTCGACCTCGCCCACCTTCTCGCCCGTCCAGCGGGCGGCGTTGTCGGGGAAGTTCTCGACGTCGTTCACTGGAGAGGTACCCGTCAGTCCCTATCCCCTTGAGCTGGCAAACCTCGCCGACTCACCGACTTTGTCCACTCCCTCTTCGATCAGGTCACCGAATAAGCCCATGGTTTCTACAGGTTCGTGTGGCGGATGGAGGTGAGTGGTGGTGCGTCGCAGGTAAGTGGTGAGTTGGCACTCCCGAGGGATCACTCGGATGATCTTTCATATACGTCGGCGACGGTTGTCCCCCGGATCTCGGGCTGCACGTCGAGGCCAGTTACCAGGAGCTATTATTAGAAACATCCACGTCCTGATGTCGCGAACGGATAATTCGGACGGTTCGGATCGCCTCAGCATGATGGTGTAAGCACGAATCGGTTCATCCGTCTCCTGGAAGGAGATAGAGGAGAGACAACACAGACGTTAGTACAGGTATCTGAACCCCCTCTTCTTCTCAATGGCCTCCTCAAACGTTATTCCTTTCCACCTGGCCGCCTCTTCGATTCGTTCCTTCTGAGCGCCGGTATACTGCTTGTGCTGCTTCATCCAGTTCTCTGTTATCTCGCAGAAGCAAGACCTAGATCACCGCACAGAAACGTCAATAGCACGATACACGAACGACCTGACATGAAGAGCTTACCTAAAGAAAGCGCAATATAAACTAGCATGGAGACGAGCCCTGTCACCATGGCGGGGCGGTACGCCCACGATGTTTTCCAGAAGAAGGACCCGACTCTGGAACGCGGGCTCATGAGTAAGGGAAGTCACGAGCCAGCGAGGTGAACCTACAAGGTCCTGATGTTCCCGAAACCACTCGCAATGCCGGTCTCCACCGACCGCTTAGCAGGACACCCAGGTCAAGGATAATGGGAAGCCTGCCCCGAAGGCAACCACCCAGTCAATGGAGCAGGTAGAGCAAGTGCACGGCTTCGTACCGGCGTATCCAACAGCCAGGAGATGCAGGAAGACGTAGCGTGCGCCAGTGTGCATCGTGGACAGCCCGACGATGTACCAGAGAATGGCGATCCACCACCAGACGGTGAGGTGCCAGAACCGTTCTCCAGTTTTGTCTGTCGTGGTCTGTGAACAAATACTTGAGGAGCACCGGCGGCGAAAAGAACAAAAACGTACTTGCGTGCCGAGCATTCCGCAGGCTCAGAGCGGCTCCCACGGCCCATGGTGGACTGTAAATGTAAACTTCATCGTCAGCGGGTGCACCGTCGTTGTCCAGCTATAACGTACGCTCCCAGCAGTAGAGTCTTAGTAGGGCCATATCCTAGCGTCGCGGTCAAGCTGAGTGATCGCTCCTCAGCCGCCCTCTTCCGCCACACAGCTTGGCGTGCCTTACCTCGGGAAGAAGTCCACGAAGCTACAGGCTAGCGAAGCAGTGCCACGCAAACAGGTGCACTGTGATGTCGCGAATCGCGAGGAGTAAGCCTTCCCACAGCCTGAGTGCAGCGACTCGTGAAGATGAGCGGTGGGAGGGAAGAAAAACAATTGCGACGTACGTTGCCTTTTCCGAGTCATCATCGGCCTCCCCACGTCCTCGGCCAGGCGCATCTGTGCGAGCCTGCGCTCTGCAGATGACGTCCAACGGGTATTATGAGGCTGCCTCTTCATAAATCCCTGCATATTCCACGAGTTAGACCGCTCACGTAGTCAGGCAGAGCCCATCTATGAGTGATATGAGTGATGAGCGGCCACAAGCGAACGAGAACAGAAGACAAGGTATACATAGCAATAGTCCGGCGCATATCGTGACGGCACCCTGCGTGCAGCTAAATGCAGGCACTTCGCTGCGAGAATGAAAATGCAGTGGCCATCTCCAGGGCTGGACACCCATAGCTTCATCCATGTAGGCGAGCACGCCCGCTGCGATGAGCTTTGCGACGGTATGTCTAAGTGTTATCCGATTGTGGCAGAGATGGTATATGAGAACATACTCTGCCGAAGGCACTCGATACCAGCAAGCCAAAATAGAGAATCGCAGAGAGGAACGTGTGCTCCCGTGGAATCCAGCATATGCATCATTTCTGGAATATGTATTCATGAGAGCTGAGATACGGACACCTCTCGTGTACCAGGCGACCAGCTGGATAGGAGATAGAATGCGCCAGGGTAAAGGGCAGCCTGGGGTCAGTGATACCATAGCCATACGACAAAAGCGCAGCAACATACCTTAGGTACGCCCAACATGAGGCGGCATATACGGATACCGGCAAGTTGTATGTGACCTAAAGACCCAGAGGGAGAGAGTATGTCAGCGGGGAATACCATGTGAAGATTATACCCCTCACTCCCGTCAGTATGCGTATTAGGTCCCAGCAGACCACCAAAACCCTATATAGATTGATGGCGTGCAAGGTGAAATGTACGTTCAACTTGAAAATTCACTTCTCCTCTGCGAGGCTCACCTCGAGACCTTGTTTATAATAGTTAGGGGTCTGCAGGTAGACAAGTTATCATTACCGACCATATTGGAGAAGACCTGGAGAGGGCAGTACGAAACTTATATAATAGCGACCACTGCTTCGTATTGAATATCTACCATGCGCTCTTAGCTATCATGAACATCAGCCGACGCAAATACTGCACCAGTCAATTGCAGATCTTTCTCCAGTCCGTTGAGTCTTGCAGCAGCTACGTTGGGCCGCTTTGCCGACGGATATCTTCAAAATCAATGCATTTGTAAGAGAATATCGGAGGCTTACATCGATGTAGTTGAGCAAGAATACTATGATGAGGATGGACATGAGTCTCAAATCATCCGCTTGACCCGCGCCTCAGCAGTAGCCCTCCCATCCCATCCGAGGGGCTTTCGATGTATATATCGTCGTTCTCTGCGAAATCAACTTTCACGAGGGCGCCCTCGGGTTCGTCAACCTTCGCTGACTGTATATAGTCGCCTCACTCATGGCTGCAGAACAGCAAAGATGGACTATCAGATTGGGCGGAGCAGCCTCTCGAATGCCATATCTAGCTGAAAAGAGATAGTATACCATAAGGGCTAGTGAAAGTCCCTATTGTGTCAGAGGAACATGAGTTCCATTGCTATTCAGGGAGTTCGTGACCAAGTTAATCTTCAGTCGACTCATCTGGGCCTGCACGTTCAATAGAATGCCCGCAGTATTAGCGGAATGCCAGCTATTCACGTTCTACATAATTCCAACTGGTATCGGTCACTTTGAGTCGCAACTGTCCGCTCTGGGGTTTGCCATCCGGAGACGAGGGTACGCTCAAGGTGTCGCTACCGAAAGAGCTATCCACTGCACGTACACTCTTGGTGACAATTGCGTCTATACACTAGCATTCTGCGTTTGTGAAGTCCTGGTGTCTGCTACCAGTCCTCGTTATTTCTCTGTACCGAAGTACTGCGGAGAGATGGAAAGGCTTCCGAGTCCTGCCAGTGGGCCCCAGTCGCTCGGAGGTGAAGCGATCCCTGACTATGACCTGTCTAATAAATAATATAATAGGTATCAGATCGACACACATAGTGTATAAACTTTGAAAGACTCAGAGCCACAACGTTGAAGTGTCCAGGTGCCCGGATCTTCCCGAGCACTCGGTTGACGCGCCAGTGTCTTGTTTTTCCTCCGCTCAATCCTCATGCTCCTTCCTCTCTTTGGTCGTTAGCTGCTGCGTCTCCAAGTGGTCTCGCTACGTCTGAAGCTTGCCACCGTATTCTGATTTTCTGGCATGCCGTATTAGGGGAGCTACGAAACAGCTGTGCTCGGCCTGAGTGCGAAATGTGCTGTGAATGATTTCTACAGAGCATATTGCGAAATATGCTTGAAGAGCTCATCCACTGCACGTTTCCTTATGGCTATAGCTACGGGCATTGACAACCTTCCTCGGATATTGGCTCTGGGGCTGGTCATGGAAACATGTTCGTTTCATGTACACAACAGCTAACGTAGTACAAGTACGCCCGACTAGACATCATCCCGCTCAGTAGTCATACCGTGCCTCATCTCTGCCCTGGTCATAAGAGTTCTCTATCCCATTATCGAACCTCTCGACATCACCCACGCCATCTCCTACCCACCCAGCGGCATCATCGACGCCGCGCCCGATATCCTGAGGGATGTCTTCCACGTCCCGAATCCCGTTATCGAACGTGTTCTCGGCGCCGTACTTCGCCCTGTCGTAGTCGTAGGCAACATCTTGCGGTATGTCCTCCACCTCTCCGACCTTGTCGCCCGTCCATCGCGCTGCGTTGTCCGGGAAGTTTTCAACATCGTTCTCTACGCGATACTTGTCACGATCCCAGTCGTTCTCTGAGAAGGTTCAGTCAGTGAAGCTTCACTGTTTAGCTTGCTGAGGACGCTACGTACCGACGTTGTGCGCCTCGTGGTCGAGTAACACACCACCCGCGAGCCCCGCCGCTGCGCCTGCAGCGCCGTACATGAGCCCACTATGTCCACCTCCCCCAGAATTTCGACTGGACTGCTCGTAGCTCTCTCCTCCGTATCCGCCTTGACCCCCGTACCCGCCTTGCCCGCCGTATCCACCTTGACCTCCATATGCACCCCCTCCTCCATAATATTCCTCCCGTGAACCTCCGCCACCCCCATAATATCCACCTTGCCCACCGCCCCCTGGATACTCGAAGGTACGTTCACCCGTTGCCTCATTTATGTATATCCATCGCTGGGCGGGCTCATCCCAGCGCGCCACCCACGGCGGCGGCACTCGTGGCGCACTGCCAGCATTGCTGTACCCTCCGCCGCCCTGCTGCTGATATGATTGTTGGTACTGTGACTGCGGCTGCGAGCCTGCGCCAGAGCCAGAGTGGAGTTTCTTCTCGGCGAACTCTTCGATGAGGTTGGTGACGAAGTTCATTGTGTGATGGGTAGATGGGGGAGGGCTCTCCGAGTACATCCGCCTATTTATTGCACCTCGGCCGTCCAGGGAGATCTGTCCTGGATGGGCAAGGCTGCGTGGCGCGTAATTGTGCTATTTTTGGATACTCGGAGATCGCTCGCACTGGACTCACCTCTGCCTTGTTCACCTGCGAATGGCAGTATCCTCGCGTTGCTAGGCGTTTCCTTCACTGCGAGCCCGCGATTGGTGAGGCGATATGGCAGGAAAAGCGTCACTGATACGTGTACTGACGGATGTTTCGGGGTCAAATCTAGGGGTCAAATCTCAGACTGACTGTATTGTTTGTCTAGAGTCTGCGTGAAGTCATATACCCTTTGCTGCTGGAACGCGGCGGGATGTTCCAGTGTTCAAACAATGCTCTGTCTAAGACAACTGCCTTGAGGAAGCTAGAAGCTGCGGCACCGAGCAGTTGGCCTTCACAAGGCGGCTGTGGCGGATGCTCTTTGCCCGGAAGTGATTGGCTGCCGTGTCAGGGTGCCTCCCACCGATGAAGTGATAGGCTACCCATGCCCGCGCATGCTGTGCATCGCGTTATCAGCCAGAGACAGGCAGGGTACGTCAGAATCTCGCCACTCTTCATTCATGCTCGGCGAGCGCAGATATTGAAAGGTGACTTCTGGACCAAGATTGGTTGTTCATATATGATGCTTCTCCGCATTGCGTCCCCTCCGCGACGCGCTACTCATACATTCAGGTATCCCTCCGATAGACTAGTAGCACATCTCTGCACGTCCCGGCTTAATTCCCGGACTGGCCCTGGTTCCTCCCCTGATCGTACGAATTGTCGACCCCATTATCGAACCTCTGCGCATCTCCCACCGCGTCTCCGACGTCTTGCGCCGCATTCTGTGCCCCTGTATCGACGTCCTGCGGGATGTTCTGGACATCGCGCTCGGCGTCTTGTGGCGCCCGCTCGGCGTCGCCGACGCCCTGACCGGCTATGCGTGCTGCTGTGTCTGCCATATCTGTAAGACGATATCTGTGTTAGCCGTGATTTTGAGCTGGTTCTCCTAGGCTACGCACTGAGTTGAAGAGAATGATATGCTAATGTGAGTGTGGAATAGGTGTTGGAGAGATTGCTACTGCAAGGTAGTGATCCTGTCTCGTGCACTTATTAGAGAGTATTTGCAGGAGGCAAAGTGGACACTTTTTCCGCTTAGCAGACAGCCCACTTCGGATAATGCGAATGCACCACAAACACCAAAAATATGATATTCTGCACCACCTACCCGTTAGCATTGGGTGTATACCTACGTATAGGGTAATATGCTGTGTCAGAGTTTCCAATGTATCCCCAGCTTTTTCCGCGAATGGCTCCGACGCGCACCACTGCTGTTTTCACTTCGCCTAAGATCTCGTGTCAGATCAGATAGCTAAAGTTGACTTCGCCTCCTGCAAATACTCTCTATTACCTCCCAGATCCCCGAGAAATCATGGTGCACCGTCATGATTACCTAGGGTATCCACCGCTGCAAGAGTTGGGGCTTTGTTTCTTAGGTTTGCGCTATATTTAGAACCGTTGTGGGCACACGGCCGAGTATGTACGACTCCTATTGGCCTCTATGCCTCCATTCTAATTGACTATGAATTCTAGGTAATCTATCGGGTTATGGCCATCGGCCTGGGTGCTCCCAGAAACTACATCGTCTAAAGCAAAACATTTTCTGCCTGAGCGTATCGACGCTACCTCACGAGGAAGTATCCCGGATCCGCTGGACCCGCACGGGCTCCAGCGCATTGCTTCTTTCTCCCATCGCTATGGTGACTGCTGGCTCACGCCGATGGAGTCGTATAGGCAAATGATGTTACTGGCCTCAGGTGGTCTTGCATATGCATATGTCGCATCGCCGTGTCTCCCCGCTGGATATGTTCATCCTGGTGACGCGCCTCATTCATTCCCCCCATACTTATCCTGATGGTCTGACAAGCGGTCTTGTAACCCTCCCGAGTATCATAGCTTGTACGCCGTATGCACTTGGAGGTTAGGACTAGCCTGGAGCAGTTGCGGATCGGGCGATCCTTCAATGCCTCCAGTCAGACTCAGAAGAGGACACCGACGAAAGCTCTGTTTCATCGTATTCCGCCGTCTTCCGCGCAGTACTCATACATCAACGTTTGTCATCCACGGCTATCCCAGCCATGCCGTCTCGTCAGTTTCCATATCTCCCCTCGTTTCTCCCTTGGTCGTACGAATTGTCCACCCCGTTGTCGAACCTCTGCACATCTCCCACTGTATCCCCCACATCGGTTGCGGCATTGTCGACGCTCCTGTCGACATCTTGTGGAATATCTTGTACGTCTCGAACGGCGTCCTGGGGGATACTCTCAACGTCACCGACGCCTTCGCCGGTCATGCGAGCGGCATCGTCTGGCAGGTTTTCGACATCGTTTGCTACGATTCAATTAGCCTAGAGTACAGGTCGGTGCATTGGACCAGGACGCTCACCGAGGTCAGAGAGGAAACTCATGTTGTTGATCGACTTCGAAGTATGTGGGGACAGCTAGGAGATGTCAGTGGGTCACAGCCAGTGTCAGGGAAGGTATCTTTATACCACTCAGCTCCCTGGGAGAGTGACCCGTCATTGTATCTCACTATGAATGGACCGGAGCTTCCTCCGTACCATCGCGCTAAATTTAGAACCGTCCTTCATGGAGGAGATGATCAAGTATGATATCTTGTCACCGATTTACCTATTCGCTCAATCCTGAATGGTGCTTTGCTTCCAGGTGGGACAGTCGGACAGTCGTGAATACAGCGTGAATGACTGAAAAACGCTCTCAGCCCATCGTTTACCGACAAAGCACGGAGAGAGACCTCTGGCGAAAGAATGTCAACTATCAGCGATAAGCCACTCCATATGTCTGAAAACCTTTAGGGATGATTCCTACATATCACAATGGTTCTTTGTTCGATCACTATGGGACGCCCACAGCCACCGAGCCACACTTCTTTGTGCGCTGTGGCATCGCCACTTGTCGTAAGTATAAAGGGAGCGGTACGACGCGTGCATCCTCTCATTTACACATTCCCGTTCGCCATATTACTTCTTCATCGTCAACATGTCTTTCCCGCTCGACACTTTGCCTGTCTGGCCGGGCGACCTAGATGCGAAGGAGTCAGTTTATTCTTTTCTTGCCCCTGGTGTTCTGTGACACTGATCAAATATAACATAGTCCATTTGAGCTGGTGCCACAGTTAATGTCCTTGATGAAGGTCGTTACTGCTGGCGTTATACGACTCCGAGACTGACCATCCCCCCAGAATACCTTGATCCGAGGGATGAATAATATCCACCAGATTGCTGGCGAAATCGGCTCGTCTCATCCGTCGTTCAAAGACTATCTATCGTACGTGAGCTTGTTCTGCAATCTCATGAGGGCGCATTTTCAAGGTAAAATATCATGACTATGCATGCATCCATAACCCGCGGGTCTGATACTCCAGATTTAGGCGACTCCCGATTCTTCAAGCGTTGTACAGAATCCGGGGAGTCTCTGGAAGTCATCTTGTCGGGGGCATGCAATCCCGACACACAGATTTTTCAGGAGTCCCTCGAACGTCTGCGCACTATCGTGCAAGGCTATACAGAGGTATGCATGGGGTGTCTTTTTATTAGCGCGTCAGCTTGAGCAGGTCACAAATGGCCAGAATCCTGAGATATACTCTGCCATGTCTGTTCGCGAATGCCTGGCCTTTGGCCCAAAGATGGTCAAGCAAATGAGGACTCAGGTAAAGGCCTAGAGCCTGTCGAGCTCCTCACGTACCCTTAATTCTTATTTTCTCAGATTGAAGCTATCCGTCCTGAGAAACTCCGAAAGCACTTCTCACCTCATGCAATCAAGGAAATGGTCCAAGGTACTAACCCACGTCCCCGCTTTCACCGTTCGCTCACCATTCTTGCAGAAAGTATGAAATCCCTTGGAGATAATACCCAACTGGCCTTTCTGGTACCGTACGTGCTGTGCTGCCTCTAATCTCGAGGTGTTTTGCGTTCAAGGTGCTGATTTTGCTTCAGATATATCTTCGCGCATCACGATCCTGCAACGTCACAATACTGGCCGCCGTCCCCGGAGGACGGCGAGGCGAAGCTCCGAGCCATACTGAAAGCGTATGAGGGGTAAGTTGGTCCGATTTATCGTAAATGCGCAGTTTACATATCTACGTATTCAAGGGTATGGCAGTTTGCACCCTTTGATCCCATAACTCGCGAAGTGAGGTTGGAAAGCGCGGAGTAGAATCACTGCTGAGATTGGATCATAGGCTGCAGTGGATTCTTGGTGTTCTCTTAATGCCAGCGTAAAATACTCGTATTGCCCCCACGTTTTTCTCCTAAGTAATATCATACCCTCACGGCGTAGACATCTTGCGACTGGTCTTGTGGCAAAGGAGTCGCAAGTGAGTGTGAATGTCATCTGCGGGCATAAAGGACGATCTGTTACGAAGCCAGACAGCTTCAAGTCATGCTCGTATCGGTAGTGCGCACGCAACCCTCCGGAAAGTAGTTGAAAGGGGAGGCAAGAAACAGCGAACCCGGGAAGTCCTGCTACAATGTGCTTGACATGTAATAGTGGTTCGAGAAGCGATATATGTCCAACAGCAAGGGGACACGCTATGTCTACTGTGCAACTCAGTCAGAGGATAGCTCACTAGACGCGGAACACTTTAGCTGGCCAAGCTGGCCGCGAGCAGAAGGTGTCACTATGCCAAGACCAATCGGATACGCAGTCGGACCTCGAGATGCCTCTTCACTTCGTTGCGGGGAGGCTGAGAAGGTCGACACGAGCGCTCCTGAGGTCGTGGCTTGCCAGGCCCTGCCGCGAGCCACTCGAAATATGATAAGGAACGGAGCTATTTTCTGAAGCACTGTCAGCGAAACCCGAGAGGAAAGGCAAGGATCATGGGTCCCCACCTGGACTTGCGACAGTAAGTGTATCATGATGTACTGCGCCGGGTGGTGTAAAACGTACGCAACCAAGAAGGTTAGCACTGTAGCAGAGTAGAGAGACGACGATTCGACCATCATGGTCGCGACGCTAACATATAGTGCCGACTGAGATTCACCTGATGAGCAGAACACATACGGTCAGTCTGAGATACTTGTTTTCCGCCGATCATATCTTGGGATACCTAACAGGTCCTTTGTCCGCCATCGGACAATCAACACTCGAGACACGATCAGGAGCGTGGCTAAGATCGTATGGATCACCGAGAGCACCCAGTACGACAGACCGACATCCGTGGCGGCTCCAGAGTAGATGGATCTACCTGGAAGCGAGGTCTCTACAACTGTGGCGACTCCCGTAACTGGGACGAACTCGGATTAGACAGGTGATACCGAGCTAAATATGCAGATACATGCCAAGCACGCCTGAATATAGAGTGCACGCCCCTGCCACAATCCATTTTCCATACCTGGCATGGCTGTAGAAGATAATCAAGCGCCACAGCTGAACAGGACAGGGTGAGGACGGTGCATAATGAACATTACTCACACGTACCATCAACCCATCAGCCAGGAGGCTCGTGATTGCGAAGGCCGTGGTACGTGCAATACCTATCGGCGTAGAGAATGGCTCGGTGTGGATATACGCTGAAGAACCCGCAGGGTAGTTTGGGTGTACGATGAAGGCCATGTACACCGTGTACGTAGATATAATGAGATACGTGGTCCCAGCCAGGAACATGACCGAAATGTAGGCCAGGTATAAGGACACCATGTGGAGACCGAAACGACTTATTGCTATCCAGAGATAGTAAAAGCAGAACGAGAACAAGAGGGACATGAAGCCATAGGCAGCGTCAAGAACCGTGCTGGGTCCGAGCAGAGAGAGAGCATCCACACGCATTTCATACTTGGTTTCATTCATGTGGACTTCTGGATGTACGTGACGGGGTTGGCTGGTGAGCGACCCAGTTCACGTTCGAGGATGCAAACAAATAAATAGCCGGAGGGCTGAAACCTAAGAATACTTCCAGCGTCAGTACCCATGCTAAAGAAGTAATGATGATCATTGAGAAGCAGATTCTCGGGCAGATGGGAAGAATTTTGAATGGCTGGAGTAGTGTGTGCTTCTACAAAATGTTCGATGAACAGGAGAAGATGGGAGGAGCGCTGACGCGGAGTGGGGACTGCCTTCACGTGTACCTTGCGTCGTCGGAGGTGATATGGCAACACATGTTGACGATGACCTACCGCTAATTCCCCTCGGTGTCATCTCAACGTCAATGAGAATAGGTGTGCTTGTTTGCTACCCACCTTCTATTCCTCCTTCCCCGCCTTTCATCGGCGTTTGGTCACGACATCTAAGTATAGCTATAAATCAAACTCGTGGTATGTCAGTGGGGCTGCAATCAATCATCTAATATCAGAAACAAACTTTGTGTAGCAATGCGGAAAGCAAATATTAGTGCGAGCAGAGATAGAATGGCAAGTGAGTTGGCAGAGCATCACATCTTCTAGGGTGGGCATAGCAGATTGGTCGGAATCCATGCGAAGCACGTCCCTGATATCGTCGTCCGTCTCGAATTCCGAGAAACCTGGTATAGGACACAAACAGGCGTTAGACAACATGACCCTAATCTGAAGGATGCGCCATATCAAACCACGTGACGAGCTCCTCATAACCGATGCAAGCACCATGCATAGCGAGCAAGGCGTCATTCCCTGCTCGACCATCCTTGTAGGCCAAACTATGATTGAAGCTGCCCACCGTACGGACGTCCCCCGCGAGACTCAGGAGCACACAACAACAACCGTGACATGCCTTTCTTTCGAGGAAAGCCTTCTGCGAGTTGAAGTGAAAGCAGGATAACCCAACACCTCGATAGTCACCTGAAGCCACCTGATAAGCAGCCCAATAGCATCCATGAGGGGAAGCAGAAAAGCGAACAGTTGTCAGTGCTGAGGTCACGGTTCAGTCATCCAATATGTGTGCCGAGACAGTGAGAGGAAGGGTGTGTACTCCCAATGTCATATAGCAGTGTAGCGCTTGAACGCAGCAAGGAATTACTGAAAGCGTCGTGCTGCCTCGCATATATTGACCAACACAATGAGGGGTCAGCCACGATAGCTTACGCCCGGAACTCAGACCACAAAGGCCTTCTGTGTAGGAAAGTTGCCACTCTGCACCACAGGGCGCTCACTAACCATGTCCGACAAACCGAAGGTCGCCTTCGCAATAACCGACAGATGCCTCGAAAATGTGAGATTCGCGACGGTTCGTGAGGGGCACATCTCAGACCAAAAAACGGACAGGAGACATAACTTCGAGAGACTCGACCCGCGTGGTATGGCGAAGCGCTGTCATCAGGGTGGGTCCAGAATCGACAAGCTGGGAGGGTATGGTCTATACAAAATAAAACCTAGAAAAAAGATGAACAGACGGCCAGCAGGAATGTACACGGGGTTATACCCGTTTCCACAAGCATCTAAGAATGCTCTCGCCTCTGCTTGTTTTTCTTTTCCTTTTTATCCTTCTTCTTCCTTTTCTTAGCTTCCGCCTTGTCGCACGACCCGCGGTCCTCATCGCCCGCCACGTCTGTCACAGGGGAACGAGGGACGGAATCTTGGTCGTCACCTGAAGGTTCGTGCGAAAGAGGGACAGACGAGGATGCCGAAGTGAACATCGACATCATCGACTTGGCACCTCCGAGTCCCATCCGAGGAGCCGCGTCGTCCTCGTCTCTCCTCGCCATCCCAATCCCAGCATTGAGAGGGGTATCAGGGCGAGAACCGGTCGGAGTAGGCGTCCCAGATTTAGCGAGCAACTTTTCCTTAAAGTAGTCCATAACGCTCTTGGACGATGTCGTGAGTAGGTGCAGGGTATCGACATTCGGGGAGAGAACAGAGTCGACTTCAGCAGGCGTCATAGGTGACTGAGACGCGGTCATCGAAGCGGATCGTGACAGACCCAAGATTTCGGAGACTGCGGCGGCGTCCTGATAGGCCATCCTCTTGTGCCGTATGAGACGGGCGCGATGGCTGCAAGTGACGAGTGCTATGTGAGCCCTCACTTATAGTAGGCAAGCGTTATAGAACGTACGCCAAAGGCCGGACTGAACCAGCCTTCTTCTCCGAGACTGGTGCCGTGCTTGAGGACGAGGCACTGGTCGAAGGCGACTTCTCATCCATGTCTGCCGTTCCCCCCTCGGTCTCTCCTTCACGCTCTCCCTTCTTCTCTTTCTTCTCCTTGCGTTTCTTACCAGACTTTTCACGTTTCCCTTCCTTATCCCGCTTTCTTCTCTCCTCCCTTTTCTCCGCACTGTGTCCCTCGTTCTCGCTAGCCTCAACCTCTGAGCCTTTGTCCACCCCCACTGACTCGTCGTCCGCCCGCCTCTTCTTTTTCTTTTTCCGCTTTTCCTGCCCGTCATCCTCGTCCCGTGTCTTCCGTTTCTCTCCCACCTCCTCGGTCTCTTGCTCATTACCTGCCTTCGCAAAACCTGCCACCTTCGTCCCAACTGCATTCTCGTCGTCCAAAGCGCCAGCTTCGTCACCAGACGCATTCAGCCGCCGTAGTAACCGCTCGAAATCGTTATTCTGCTTCCAAGCAATCCCGTTCGGGTCCTTCTGGTGCTGCGCGCCGATACCCATCATGTCCAGCTTCTGCGAGACCTTGATATGTGACGTCCGGCCATCCGAGTTGGCCCCGAGGCCTTTTGAGGTGTCCCATCCGAACTTTTGCAGATACGCCTGGCCGAACTTGGCAGCATCTAGAGGTCAAACCGATCGAACGACTCTTTCATTTCACTACCCGTCGGACTCACTGTCTGCCCAGGATAAGTTCCTCGGGTCGTGAGGAATCCTCTGCTTTTCTTTTCGTCCGGAAAGACCCATCGACTCGGATGACTGGGGACGGCTCAGGCGGTTCAGGCAGACACGGCGAGCAGGAGACAGTTGAGATGGAGGGTGTCCCGAGTCCGCTGCGTACCTCCGGAGAAAGCCGGTCACGGCATGGTGAACCCCCAACACTCCGCCACATCCATACAAGCGTTAACGCTTACATTTACATGACTTGTGGCACTGGACCGCCGTCATTGACCATCTTTGTCTTTTGTACCTTTCCTCGCTTGAGTCAGGATTGTAACTACTCTAAAAGCGCCAATCTCCCTCTTAAAAACTGATATCGCACCGGCTGTCAATTTTTAAAGAGCTTCATGGACAACTGAAAGAGACATCAATTGTGTGGATCATCCAGTCCCACCGATTCTCATTCAGCTTACTCCAGCATTGTATTTTTGAGATGCAGCGCCGCGGATAGGACTTGGAAGAGCCAGATGGATGATATCGATGTTCCCTTATACGTACTTCCTGGCTACGCCCATGCTTATGCGACAGATCCGAGTCGTTCCTCCCGTACGACTTTTGATTGTGCACGATGTGCGAATTTAGTCGGAGGCTCGAAGCGATGTCTCCTGCCCATCCATAATTTTGAAAGCGACTCAGCGATCTCTTCGAGGTACACTGTGAGACAGCTTCGAGCAAACTGAGCTCGCTGACCTCTCCACTCTCTTAGACTCGGCAAATACCTTGGAGGTGCGTCGGTCTTTACTGTCATGTCTCTTTTAACGCACAAGGGTAGTCCACGCTTACCTTTCCCATCTTTCGGCTTAGTCTTCCGCTGTTCTACAGGTTGTCACAGCATGAAGTATGGTGACTGTATCAGTACTTCCGCACCGCTGTTCTGTCTTGTTATTGATGGTAACCACGTTCCCAAGGGTTTCCCGACAAATCCGTAGTTCGAGCCGTATTTTGACATTGCAGGACGATCAAACACGCAACAAAGATGCTACCAAAGCTATGCATGGAACTCGCGATAGTTCTGGGCGCTTGTAGCAGGTTTCTATCTGACCCGTCTCCCAAACGTCAATGCGCCTCGAATATCTATCAGGTTCCTCGTTATCCGGTTCGGGCGGTGATATCAGTGACCGCCCAGGATATGGATCACGCTTCAAACTGCTACATCTCCCTGGACAATGCGAAGCGCCCGTCTCACCTTCCACGATATCTCTGCTGGGTCAGTGTCTGTTCTCCGGTTGTACCACAAAGTCCGTTGCCAAAGTGGTCATCGATTGTAGCTCCATGGCGTGCATGACTCAGGGCTATACTTGGACGCTGTGGCCAAACGCAGCTCTGAGCCGGACCACAAATCGGCCCCGACAAATCCATGATCAGGAGGAGTAATAGACGGTGAGTAGCAGTCCAGTACAGCTCTTCTAAGATGACGCCAAGGGGATTTCGCGGTGGGCCATTGTTAATATGTGTCAGCACATCAACTCCGATATTCACGCTTAACCCGTGAATATTAGTGAGGCAGCGCCACTCCGCATGCCAGCCCCGTCTGCTCTTGTTCACCCAATGATGCGTGGAAGCCAATACCATGGAGGTACTCTTTTTTCGTGTCTCCTCGAGGATGTGCTTCTCCCAAAGGGTCATGTTTGGCGTCTGTAATCTTACCACCGGCGCGTGCGCGAACAGATGCTATATCTCAGACATTAGGGCGAACGAGGGCGGCCCCACTATGGTGTCTAGTGTATTCAGAGGCCTGGGGACTCCAGCTACGGCTCGCGCTACTTATTTGTTCGCATCCCCAGACTCCCTCGGAACTCTCACCAGCCCACCCGCTACGTCGAGAAGCCAGCATGAATGACGCCAAGCATGAAGTGTGTGTGGATGAACTCACTTTGCTCAGCCTAGCACGGTGCTGGGCGTTGCTTATGGCTTCATGTCGGTCTTTCTAATTCTGCGTCTCTGGATAGCTAAAAGTCACTTTGGTCGCCGGAGGATGATTCTGTACCTGACTTTCACTTCGGTCCTGTTCCGGCTTGGAACCACGTATCTCGTTCTGCACTCATACTCGACGTACCTTGCCTTTGTTGTATGCCGAAACTACCCTGGTGGTCCTTCCGCATATATTCATGCCAAACTGTTCTCCACGCCGATCGGTTATGTATCTTCATCTGCCTTCACTATTGCGAATGTCATGGCTGACGGACTGATGGTGCGTGGTAATGGGAGTGTGTTCAGCACACAATGCTTCACTAACGTCGCCCTGATAGTTATGGCGCTTGATTGTCTTCTACAGACAGATTAGGTACGGAAAATGTATCATGGTAGGGATGTGCACTTTGTATTCAAGCGTTGTCGGTATGTATCTACCTCCTCTGCTTAGTGCTTTACATTGACGTGTGCTTTTTAAAGCTATGGGTATCATCACAGTCGTGGTGTCCACGCTTCCAGGTCGATCATTGTTCTCTGAAGGCACTGCTGCCTTTGCCCTGTCAAGCTGGATAATCTCGGCGTCCTATACAATCATAGCCACATTGCTCATTGTCTGCCGAGTGCTGCTTCTCTGACGGCAGATCAAGACTGCGCTAGGTACTTGCAATGGGCGACGCAGGGACAATTCAGGCTGAGGTTTGTGTACTACTCATCAGATGAAGCCCATTCGGCGCTCTACGTTAATGTAGCGACGATGATGATTGAATCTTCAGCCCTCTACTCTGCTACAATCCTGACCTTGCTTGTTACATATGCCTTACACCACCCGGCACAGTACATTATGATGTAATTACTTTTGCAAGTCCAGGTGGGCGTATACAATGATTGTGTAGGGATACGCTGACGTTCCCTCAGATCATAGCCTCACTCCTAATTGTATTATGTGTGGCTCGCGGCAGGCTTGGGGAGATGCGACATCAGGAGCTCTTCTGTCTACTTTCTCGGCGGCTCTGCGACGGATTGAACGGGAGTCTCGGGGTCCGACTTCGTATCCGATTACTCTCAACCTCCTGCTCGCGGAGAAACTGGACAGCTGAAGTTTGCGGCACCTAGTGACACGTCCATTTTCATGAATTTTAGTGCCTCAGAGGCATGATGGTAAATACATGGGTTTGACGCTGTTTGACGAGACTGGTTTTACAATGTATTTCACCATTGCCCCATGTAGTATCTATGGTAGGTCTACCGCCGCAGCAGGACCCGGGAATCTCCTATGTATGTATGTCCGATTTTTGCACTTTTGAGGCCCCAAAATTGGCCATTTCATTGTCGGACTTAGCACTTTTGAGGCTCCCCAGTGACCGCCTACGCCGGAATGTATGCCGGAACTTAGTACTTTTGAGGCCCAATGGAGCCACCAACTCCAGGTGGCTGAATTGCCTACAGTCGTTTGCATAAGAAACTGAACATCACGTTTCTGCGCGCGCTGTTTGTCCGTGCCAAATATGCCCTTTTCGGGTAACTTCAGACGGCCTCTCGCGGGGCTCATTGGCTAGGTAAGGACTTGTAGATGTCCGGAGGGGCATCACTCCATACCCATGCCTTTGCGGATCATATGCTATATAACCTTGGGTCTGCTGCACTCAAGGGTACCTTTGAAATATGGTGCTCACTGCCATAGCAGCACAGCGATGGAGGACATTCAACAAGCCGAAAGTAC